CCTTTTGTAAACACAGATTCTCACGGGGACTAGACTTACAGAAAGATTAGCCCCTTCAATAAACAAGTGGATGTATCACGCTGCAAACCCGGTGCAGCTGGGTATTACTGAGCCATTGTTCCGGATAATCTGGGATGCTTGCCATTTAATCTGAATGCAATTAAAATCTCTCTTTTCCTATGGATTACTAGGAGAGATAATAGAGCTAGTAGGTCATCCTGACCTTCACATTAACTGCGAATCCTCCAGTACTGAATGTCTTGCAGTTTTCACATCATGAAATCAATTTCGAAATTGGTGGCTTTTATCGTCTATAAAATTCTTTGAAAGCTTTGATGTCATTCATATACATGTGTGCAAAAGTTGACAAAAATTACATTAAGCAGATATAAATATTTCAATTTTATAGCATTTCTCTTAAACTGTCCCAAAATACTGATTACATATTTTAAACCTACCCCGTCACCTAACCGGCGACGTTAAAGGTAAAGCTTCAGGTGTATGACGGCCCAGGGTCGTCATGTAACCTAACCGACGTTTAAGGGTACCCTAAAAAGGCGGATGTTGACGTATGGTCAAAAGATGTCCAAAGACGTCAGTTATATGACTTCTTGGGATGAGACTGTGTTAAAATGTTAGTATCATAACTGGACTGTTTTGTTTCCTTGGTCTCTGTTCTCATGTATTTCTGCAAGGTTACACCTTGTATTTAAACTGTATGACTTCTTTCAGCCAAACACAATGAGAGTCAGACGTCACTCTTCATATGGAACAAGACTCACATATGGCCGTTACAGCCATTGATTCTAGTTGTTAAAGTTATACATATGGATACTTCAGGGTTAGTTTAAATAATTTTGTTTAAATATATATCCAAAATGTATATCCATTCGATTTTAAAAGAAAATGTTAAATCAGTCTAGATTATTAAGAAATATATATATATATATATATATATATAATTTGACACAAGAGGGCAGTATAGCCCTATTTATGGTTCTGAGTTTAAACTAAACCGTGACATCTACACGTTTTCCAAATTGGACCAACGTGATTATTTCACAAATAAGTGACGTTATTAAACACAAATGTGAAACGTATATAGCCTATGTTTATTTTATGTTTTTTTTTTTTACTTATATTTAGCGTCACGCCGCTCCGCTTTGCTCTCATGTAGCCTATAGGCTACATGTGTGTGTGTGCATGTGCTGGAGGGGTGCCCATCCCTTTTTTGAATATATCGTTATCATTATTGATAATTTTTTTAATAATTCGTTTTTCATGCATATGTTGAAATTGGTACTATTTGTTTGAGGTTTGACACTTTATTAAAAATGACTTTACTAAAAATGATACAAAAAAATGGATGGATTTATAGCGTTTTGAAAAAAAAAAACTTTTAATTTATCATTAACAATATTGTTGTTTGATTTAATAATCATTGTTCAAAATGTTCAGACTGAAGTTTGAACCAATAAAACATTTCAACAGGATAATTTAAATATTCACAAAATGTGTGGGTCTAGGTAAAAAATTTAGTTTTGTTTCCTTGGTCTCTGTTTTCATATATTTATACAAGGTTACGCCTTGTAAGCCTATGTCATTTTTTTATATTTTATATTCTAATAGGCTACAATCACAGATTGTATGAATAAACCTTGAATAAATTAGGTAAACCATACCAAAATCACTGTAAAGTCATTGTTCTGTTCTGCTATGTGAATGATGTGGAGAAATAAAACTGATTATGAGATGTGCACTGATAAATCATTAATAATAGTGCAATATTCCACAAAAATTAGAATGGTACATTTTGATTAAATGTTGATTTAAACACAATCCCATATGGATATGATAATGCAATGACCAAGTTACAGTGAGTAGCACTTTAAGCCACTGAAGGCACTTCACGAACCATAAAAGTAAAGCTAAACAAAACAAAACAAGTACACCAAATTGGCCTACTACGCTACAGACACAACATAATGTTAACTGGATGGTCTGGTAGATCCACTGGTCTAAAATTATGAATGGGAAAAAAGGTCCAAACAAGCAGTTGCTGGAGGAGCAATGAAACACACCTCCCATGAAACACACTTCCCAAATGCCATCAAGACAGCCACTACAACCACACCACGAAAGGCTTGTGGCAGTTCGTTCACAACCACCGCACAGCAACAACAAGTGTACCAACCGATGAAGAATGCTCAACTCAACGGCGAATCCCCATAATGCTCTGGTTGCACCAAATAAATCCTGTATCTCGCAAGAAGATGGCTCCCGCGGATGAATTATCCAACCATCCATTTTCCAAACTGTAGGCCCTATGTGGCTGCTGGTAATATCAAACAGTATAAATTCCTTTTTAATGCATTAAATTGTTTAATGAAGGCTAATACATGCTAGCTTCCATGTCCACAGTGTTTAAAATAAATGTTTTCATTACTAGGCTACTGGAGGTGCCAGTTTGTTAAGTTTCAAATAATTGGCCTATTAAACAACAAGCACAAACTATGCGAATGCGGCAGCCCTTCTGGCACACTCACTGTCCGAATTCACTTACTTGTTTTCGTTTACTCCTTCAAGGAGACTATAAGTGGACTAATGTAGGGAATAGTGAATGAAGCTATAGGGTGATTTCGAACAGCTTACTGTTGCGTGCCTAAATGAATCAGTGTTTTGAACAACTAATTGGAATGACTCACTCTTAAAGACAGTTGCCACCTACTGGCGTAATGATGTAACCTGCAGAAAGAGTCACTGAAAAATCTCCACCACCAATACTGTACACTGACAGTCTGTCTGATTTGAACAAACACAGATAGGCTATAATACAAACAGTAGCATAAGCTGAATTTGGAGTAGCATAGCCAATTCTTACTATTTATTTGCCATTGCTTTAATTGAGGAATAGTAAGTATGGAGACTGCTCAGACCAGATTCGAGAAACTGAAGGTTGTTGTTGATCTGAAACTGAATGCATCCATATCAATGTGTCAATATAAAGCAGACCACTGGGGCAAAGAACAAGTGAACAAAAACGTACTGAGAGCACCATCAAAGAAGAAAAAAAAAAGATCAGGATACAGTTATTCAACAACAACAGGTCACCCTGCAGGTTTTGTCGTCTACATACTAGGACAAAAATATCAAAAATGAAGAAGAATTTTCAGAGTTCATAGACTTATTATTGGAAATTAAACAGCTAGAACAGTCTGCCTAAACTGTAATCAGAGTCTTCCTTTGTGTCCAGATTAATGATGGCCAAATCCTCCTAACCTCGACCAAAATCATCAACAGTATTCACGCACTAAACCCCTCAATGCCTGCGAGAGGCGTTCTTGCTCATATTGGTGTATACCTCCATCTAGTGGACAAAACTCCTAAATACACATCATCTTCACACATCGTATTCTCTACGGTCTAAAAAAGGGATGTCAACAGTTCCAGTCTGTTACATTTGAAAGTTTCTGTTGATTATCTTTAATGTTCTCTTGAACGTGTTTGTACATCTTCATCTGTTTATAATAGATAAATATGAATGTGGATGCACTGGGGGAGCACGCATAATATTTTATGACCAATATAATGAATAATAGAAGCTTGATTTATTTATGGAAAAAATCCTTTAGGCTTCTGTCTATCAATATCCCTGAACACCAAACAAAGTAGACACTTGACACTTGTATGTTAGGCCATACTTTTTTATTTACTTTTCTTTTTTGAACATGATATGTGTTTTAAACTTCACACACTTCACTGAATGAGCGCTGGTGTGCGCATGCGTTTCAAACTGATGGAGCACAAAAGAATGACAGAGCAATAATTCTGACAAAAAATATACTTTGCCTTTATATATTTTATATATAAATATATTTTATTGCCTTTTATTGTCTGTTAGGAATAACATTTGTATTTTTATGAAAACAGTAAAAGAGACTGTTGTAATGGTAATATAAAAATAAGAGTAATATAATTACTATTTCCAGATAATTAAATGTGTGTGTTTAGTCTGTGCTTTTGTTTTTCTGGGTTATGGTGGGCAAGTTTAAGAATGTAATGTTTATATTTTTGCATTTAATGTTTAGCATTGCCTATATAGTCACGTTCACTATATTTGTTTAAATATTTTTTTAATTTACATTGTTTTGAAGACAATATAACTTGTATAAAATATATTAATGTATAACTTGGATAAAATAACTTGCATATATACAGTATATAGAGAGATTTTTATTTATTCTATTTCTGATACTTGTTCCTTTTCTCTGTTGTAATAAATAAAACTCATTATGCTTTATACAATGACTTTCATGCGTCGACCTCTATTTAAAAGTACAAAATGTTAGTTAATGTTCTGAGCATAACATTTTTTCGCCTATTTGTTTATCTCCACCTACTTTTGGGACAATTCAATACTTACTGGTAAAAATTCTACTACTCTAATTGAATTCTTACTGGTAAAAATGCAATTACGACGAGTAAGGCTGGGTACAATTTAAGCTAAAACGGCTTGCCATATCTCTAATTGAATTTTTACAGGAAAAATGCAATAACGACGAGTAAGGTTGGATACAATTTAAGCTAAAACGGCTTGCCATACTGTAATTGTAATTCTTACTAGTAATAATTGAATTGTAGAGAATTGTAAATTGTTTACTAGTGACAATGTTAATTTCTGATATCATAAACGTGATTCTTAGTAAGAAAGCCATTTTAGATGTCTGAAATAATATTGATATCAGAAATGCATTTTCAGATATCAAAAATGATACTTTTTACTATCAAGAATAGACATTTCAACTAGTGACAATTTAATTATTGATATCGGGAATTCAAATTTTTACTAGTAACAATGTAATTATTGATATCAAAAATGATATTTATACTAGTAAAAATCCATTCTTGATATCAACAATTTATTTTGAATGGCAGCCTATGGTGACATTTTACTAGTGAAAATACAATTGTTGATATCAAGAATTAAATTGTTGATATCAACTATTAAATTGTTGATATCAAGAATTCATATCCTGGAAATGAATAAAAGCTAAAACGGATTGCCACAGGCTTTGCTCCTTTCGAGCATCTGATCTCTGGCCCGGGCTCCGGTTTCAGCTGCCGCTGTGTGTTCAGCTCCTGCAGCATCCACACAGAACGGAGCAGAGGATGTAAACTGTAGTTGATGCTCCACTTCTCGTTCTGTAGGTGATCAGGAAGATCTCTGCAGTTCCTGTGTCTCTCCAGCTCTCCCTGTACAAATGATCATAACTGTTAATCTACACTTATCCTAACCATACAATCCAAGCCATGTCTGCTGTGATTCAGATAAGTGTAATGTCACCTGTTCAGCGCAACCAAGGATGGCGCTCGATGTCGTCTAAACTGGGACGATCTTCTGCCGCATCACTGAGACACCAGCTAATCAACTGACGGCACTCTGTTAAACACATCACAGTCTTTAGGAACACAAAAGAACAAACTTATCCTGGGTTTCTACTTTTGAATGTTTGCTATCTCTTGCCTGTAGACAGTCCGCTAGGGAAGAACTTGAAGACCCTCGGTGCGGCTCTGAGGGGAAAGCACAGGATGTTGTAGAGCGTCATCCCCACAGACCAAACAGTGGCCGGTCCTGCATGATAGCAGTGCTGATCAAACCACTCAGGAGGAGCGTACTCAAGAGTACCTGAGAAACCCAAGAAGGCCAGAAACATACACTGAAAAGGTTAGAGTCCAAACATATTCTCTTTGTTTGATCATCAAAAGTTCAGTAAACATCCACAGAGCGTTTCCCGCTGTAACGCAAAGCTAACCTGCAAAGCTTGTGTAGGCCGAATCCTTTAGGAGGCCTCCACAACCAAAGTCCAGCAGCTTGATGTCATGGGACGCTGTGGAAATCAGCAGGTTCCCTGGCTTGACGTCCCGGTGCAGGACTCCCCGGCTCTCGCAGTGTCTCAGAGCGGTGATCAGCTGAACCAGCACTTTCTTGGCCAAGCTCTCATCCACACAGCCGTTCTCCTTGCAGAAACTCTGCAGATCTTGACAGGGAACTGGCCGTTCCAGGATCATGGAGTAGTGACTGCGACTCTCAAACCACTCCACAAGCTGCAGGACATTGGGGCAGGTGGGTGCTGAATTGACCCGGATCATCAATGCCACCTCCAGCGGCAGCAGACCCTGACCTTCCTGCAGGGACAAAAGCTCTGTTATGTATATCCAGGGCTGAACGAAACGGATGAAACAACAGATTCACACTGGAACTTACAACTTTCAGCCTCCTTTGGGTCCTGTTTTTAGGGACGTACTTGATGGCAACCTGCAGACGGATAAACCACAGTAAATCACACCAGCCTAATTGTGACAGAAGACATTTACTGATATCAACATTTCTAAAGGCTATCTGAACAAAGGAGGGATAGGGAAGAAAATGTCTTACTGGCAGTCTGTCAGACCTGCGGATCCCAGCATACACAGATCCGAATCCGCCTCGTCCCAGCAATGGGCCCTTCGCATATCCTCCTGTAACACACATGATCACAAGAAATGTCCTTAAGAGAACACATGTCTCTAATGAAAAATCATGGAAGCCATAACTTTCAAATGAAAAGCTTATTCTGACCTCTGCGAGAGCGTTTAGCAGTGGACAGATGTCCATCATCTTGGCTCCTCTGGTTGCTGCTCTGCCTCTTCCTCTTCCTGTCGGCCTTACCTGTGGAAACAGAAACAGCAAACACAGAGGACAGAGGTGCCAAATATCCAGGCAGCTTCTGGCTCAGCGTCTGCGTCGTCGGGCCTGGCAGCGGTTCCTGAGCGCGATCATCAGAACCGAGTCTCTCCTGGCCAGCCGTCTGAGTGGACGCAGCTCTGCTGGATCTGGATCGGCCTGAGGCTGGAATATTTCAAACATCACACGGTAATGTTCAAATTATTACTTTGTTATTTGCAACTTTCTATTTTCAATGACGAATCATTGAACTATTAACAGAGACATCATTTTTAATTTTTTTTTTTTAATAAAAGCTTATTCTGACCTCTGCGAGAGCGTTTAGCAGTGGACGGACGTCCATCATCTTGGCTCCTCTGGCTGCCGCTCTGCCTCTTCCTCTTCCTGTCGGCCTTACCTGTGGAAACAGAAGCAGCAAACACAGAGGACAGAGGTGCCAAATATCCAGGAAGCTCCTGGCTCACCGCCTGCGTCGTCGGGTCTGGCAGCGGTTCCCGATCCACAGAACCCAATCTCTCCTGACCAGCCGTCTGAGTGGACGCAGCTCTTCTGGATCTGGATCGGCCTGAGGCTGGAATATTTCAAACATCACATGGTAATGTTTCAATAATAATCAATATTTAATGCCAGGGGTCACTTAATAATTGTTACTAGTTAACGTTACTCAAATAGAAAACTTTATTTCACATGCAAGGCATCGAACATGTGATCACTTAGCTGGGAAAATTTAGGGATCAAATTAGTTATCTAGCACAAGTTTCTTCCAGGGTTCCCACACCTCGGTTAACCTGAAATTCAAGGACCTTTTAAGGACTTTCCAAGTCAATACCCTCAAATTCAAAGACCTCTTCTTTTAGTGGTCACACTTGTCTCCATCGCAGTCAAAACAAGTGACCGAAGCCTTGAACTGTAGGCTTCTTTTTTCCAGGAAAACAATTATGTTTTTGTTCAATAATATTGTTTTGATTATATTATTCAATAATTTTGAAGGGATTTTGATTCTATGAAATATTCAGCAATTTTTTTCCATTTGAACAATTTTTTTTTTCAATAAATGCAGTATTTCACATTAAAATAGAGTGAAGGCCTTTAAAATCCATTTTTTGAAGTGAGAAAAGTGCTATTTGGAGGCATATTTTTGGGCATTTTTTGTAATGTCGTGTAATCAACTGTATAGCTCCCTATATAAAGGCTAGGATGGCTTAAATTAAATAAATAAAGTAAATTAGGGGCTTACTTTCATTTTAAAGTGAACTACTCCTTTAACATAACGTGTAAATTCCCATAACTAACGTAAATCAAGCAAGCTAGTGTGCAGAGGACACGAACGAAGTGTTGGCGAAATAACACAGCAGACTGGAGGGAATAATATGAAATTTTTTTCCAGAAAACTTCTTGGAAAAAATAAATTCAAGCACTTTCAAGGACTTGTATCTATTAGCAGCTATGTTTGTTTTCAAAAAATTTCCAGGGCCTTGAATTTTTTTTCAGATTCACGAACCCCATTGTACATCATACCAAAACATACCGAAAAATAAATAAATAAATAAATAAATAAAGACTCACCTCCTCTTTCACCAATGTGATTGTGAGCCATCGATATCCTCCTCCAAGTCCAACCTGCAATAAAAACAATACGAAAACGAGAACACAAATCTCTCCAGAAATACTCCTCCTCCAAAAAAAAAGAAAGAAAAAGAAAAGAAAAGAAAGAAAAAGAAAGTATAAAATTAAAAAAAAAATAATAATAAAACCTGAACCCCCTTCTAAAATCAGAAAAGAACAAATCAAATAAAAGTTTTGAATATTTTAAAATAAGATATATGAACTCAAAAGTAAAACTCTGTGATGGAATTCTCCAATGTCTCAAAGTCTCCTCTCAATCCTCCGAATAGCTTCAAAATGCTCTGTAAAAGTCTCTCAATTCGCCTCTCGTTTGCCAACCAACAGATTTCGATCAGTGAAATTGTTGATATGTGCATTCAGAATTCAAACAATACGTCGCTATAGCAACTAAAAATTGAATCGCTCATTGGCACAGCGCACGTGAAGTCGCGTGCGCGAGTACAACAGAGCACGCGCAATCTCAACAAATGCGTTATCTTTGACGTTTTCTTTAATACATATGAGATTTATTATTTCTTATCATTTCTTATTATTTTATTATTATTATTATCCGTGGAATTATTCGTGTAAAATCTTCGTCAAGCTAATTGCAAAAGCGTCCACTTCCTAATTTTTCACTCACAGTCAAATGGAATCCAGTCATTGCGTCTGTTCAAAATGTGAGCAAAAAAGCTAAAGGGAGGATAAATTGGACGAGTGGCCACCCACTTAAACACCTCATATAGATAATTGTTGTAAAGTCTCTCTCAACAGGGAAAAAGTGAATAGGCTACTTTACACGAAGTTGGTTTGACGTTGGACGTTCGATATTCGCGTATTTAGGGGCCGTCTCTAAAGTTAACTACGCAGAGTGCAGAACTGAGAAAATGACTTTAGCTAGGGCTTTTTGCAAGTTACTGTAGGCAAACGACTACCATTTTTCTTGAAAACCACACACATTTGAGATAAGATGTTTTGTCACATAACAAAGGATGCCTTGCCATGAAAATGAAAGAAGAAAATTAAAAGTCAAATCAGTCTGAAAAGAAATAGCATCTCGATTCAGAACAGTCTGAAGGTCTGTCCCGAGTTTGGAGTTTTTTAAAAAGGATTTCAGTCAGTTGGCTTTTTCACAAGCCAACTTAATTAACTGCACCTGTAGGCTAATCAAGTCCTTCAACGTGTTACATATCAAGATCTAATGGGAACTTATGGTCGTTTTTTCTTCTTCAATGACAATCAGTCGGCCAATATAAGCTTTGTCGTGATAACGTAGACTACCAGTACAATCAGCATTCATCTAGCTGGACAACTTTTGTGTGTGTGTGTGTATATATATATATATATATATATATAGGATATATATATATATATATATATATATATATATATATAAATTAGATATTACAGTTATTATATTATATATTACAGCCTATATTACAGTTGTTTAGAAGGCTATTGGTCATTGGAAATATATATGAAATGTATTTGGGTCATGTCAAGTCTCTTAAAAATTAGAGAAATAAATCTCTCATCATATCGTCTAACAAATCCTTCCCTCACGAGTCAAAAATGACTCGAAGCCTTAACAGAAAGCCTTTTCAGAAAGCTTATATCATTTTATTTTGAAAATATTGTTTCTATTTTTTAATGAGTTTTTTGGGGATTTTAAGATTTTTTTTTTTATCTGCCTTTAAATTACTATTGTATCAATAAATAACATAATTTAAGCACATTCTTCACATTCATACATTGAACTTAAATTCAAAATAACATAACCAGCTCAACATATCTCACATGGGGTCAATTTGGGTGTCTCTTATACGACCTCTTGAAGAAAAAAAACAAAACAAAACAAAAAAACATCAAATAAAATAACAACAACATGATATTTCATGGCTTTTACCACTAGATGGCCTTAGAGCTCTATTTGGAGCAAATGAGCTGTTCCACTGGGTCCCAAAGTCAATTCTTGAGTTTATCTTTTCAGCATGCATTGATTCAGATACACAAGTAGACATTATGATTTTTTGGGGGTAAAGTTTAGTTTAAATTTTAAGCATTTTTAGGGTTGTGGACCACTGTAATGAACACTCAAAAAAATAAATTTATTGAAAAAAAAAAAGAAAAAGTTTTGGGTCAAAATGGCCCGAGGGAAGTATCAGGGCCACAGTGATTACTCTTTAGGGAACTGTGTTGTCTGACTATAATACTGGAAAAGGAACAATTACTTTAATAGAGAAATTTAAATTACACTCTTTATCATATTTGACCAACAAACAATGGATTCTTTTCCCTTTTTTTGAACTCGATACTGGTTTCAGTGTAAAAGTTTTGAACCTGTTCAAATGTAAAAAAAAAAAAAAGCTTACACAAAAAAAGAACCACAAAAAGTCCAACCCTGTATTTCATTACAAGTTTAATTCAACATTCACTGTAAGTTAATCACCACTCTCTAATTCATATTTAACAAAACATTAGAAAATGCACCGTATAACCACCAGTCTTCTGATTAGTGGTGCTAACATGACACTTCTTCCACAAGCTCAGTGACATTGTTCACTGGAGATCCCTAAATCTGCTACCTTAATTCAACAGCATGTGGCGAACGGGGGGTGAAGAACGAGGCTGAAAATTCATTAACACTGCTTAGCTTTTCCTTTGGAAAATCTATAGACCTCGCTCTCTCTGACTAAGAAATTAACAAACAAAAATGGTACACATAAAACAATACAGTAGTAATGGGTGTAATATATTCGCATTTAATATTTTAGTTAAGGACGGTTATGACGGAATACTACGTCAGTATGAAGTGCTTTGCACCAGAGATGCAGTAACCTGTATCCCCTGCCGATGCTGTGACAATGGGAATGCATGTGGAGTTTAACTGTACAAGTAAAACAGATTTAGAGCAGGTAACTATCATAGTTACTACAATAGCTTTACTGCATGACCGCAGCATGTCACAAGTTCACATTTAACTTTTCCATGCAGTCATGCAAACAATTCACTCAGATGAGTTGCATCTTGTAAACCAGAGCCACACCGATGAGCTTTCCACGTCTCTCTCTGATGGACCGAAGCAAAAAAAACAAAAAAACACCCAAAGTACAAAATATCAGCCCATCCCACTGGAAGCTCTGTCCTTGAAATCTGCAGGCGAGTTCTCTGAGGTCCGTTTGGAAGCAGTTCCTTTTTTCTTTTTCCTGTGCCACCAGAGCACAGGAAGTTGGCTCACCACTTCCTGTGATAGAGAGTCTAGACAGTCCTCTCCTGATTGGCTCATTTCAGCCCACCTGCTTCTCCAGCAAAAAGTCTCTGCGCTCACACTTCACAATAGACATGCAATACACAGACCAAATTAATTCTTAAGGTTAGGTTGTACATTTATATAGATTTATACATATTTATATAATTCATATATTTTCAGGAATGTTAATCTGTGTGTGTTTTTTTTTTTTGTTTGACGATACAAAAATTACTTTTCATCTGACACATATAAGCAACATCATAAAAACAGTCTCTTTCTTTAAAAAAAAAAAACAAAAAACATCCCTTAATAAAAATAAGTTCTATTTGTGTTTTGTTTATTTTACAATATATTTTCTTTTCCGCTCCATCTTCCGCTCTACTATTACAATAGGCACTTTGTGCAGCCGCACTCGACGGTGGTCTCGATCTCTTCGGAAAAGGACGATCCATCGGAGCACTTGAAGCTGACCTTCCGTCTCCGGCTCTTGGTGGGGGCGCAGCACAGGCCCGAGTGGCAGGCGTGAGGACACTCCACCCGGGGGATTTTACTGGTGGATGTGCAGCTTTTATGACCCATGTGACGCTTAAGGAGCTCGCGAACCATCTCTCCTTGGCACGTCACCTCTGTGTGGAGGAGGGGAAAGAGGACAGGTCATCAGATAAGCATTTATATTAATAAACATAAGGACTTATATTGACTTGTTGCTTCACTCTTCTGGATTCTGTATACGGCATGGTAATGAAACAGCATTTGCAATGCGTTTAACTGAGCCTGGAGTCTCTTATGCTCACCAAGGCTGCATTTATTTGATCTGACATACAGTATATATTTATATTTTGAAATATTATTACAATTTCAAATAACTGCTTTCTATTTTAATATATATTGAAATGTAATTTATTTTTGTGATGACAAAGCTGAATTTTCAGCATTACTCCAGTCTTCAGCGTCACACGATCCTTCAGAAATCATAATAATATGCTGATTTGCGGCTCAAGAAACATATCAATGATAATGATAGTGCTGCTTAATATTTTTGTGAAACCGTAAGACATTTTTTTTTGTGTGTGGATTCTTTGAATAGAAAGTTCAAAAGTCCAGCATTTATTTGGAATAGATTTTTTTAACAGTGTGAGTCTTCTTGTTGAATAAAAGTAGTAGGCTAACGTTTTACTTTTTGAGATCTCATGAAGATCTTATGGAGAAAAAGAACAACCACATACAAATGATGGTTATCATTGTTGTGCTCTGTTGTATGTGATGTTATTGTAATATTCTTCACCCAATAAAGTTTGGATGAAAACAGTCAGAAGTAGCCGACATTTTACAATTCTTAAAGGAGAACTCCGGCGCAAAATGAACCTTTGGTCTAATAAAACATCGGTACCTAGTCGACCGTTCTCTGAGATTTGTTTTCATGATAATCGAGTGTAAAGAGTTTTATCTCTAAAAACTGTTTAGCGTATACGCTAGTAATGGGGGCATTTACTAAGTAAAGAGAAATCGCTAGTTTATACCACTAACAAGGCTCAAAATAGCCCCACTCTAACACGATAACATAATGAGGGTCCATACATGCAAAACGAAGCATTGAGAACTTTGTAAGTGTACAGACCGTTTAATAAAAGATACTTTATAAAGACAGTTCACTTCGCGTATACAGATCGGAGCCATCTTGGAAAACAGTCTCGACAAGTTGAACCACGAACGTGAACTTTAAGTTCTCAATGCTTCATTTTACATGCAGGGTCCCTCATTATGTTACTGTGTTAGTGTGGGGCTATTTTGAGCCTTGTTAGTGGTATTAACTAGCGATTTCTTTTTACTTATTATATGCCCCCATATAATAGCGTTATACGCTAAACAGTTTTAGAGATAAAATTCTTTACATTCGACTATCATGAAAACAAATCTCAGAGAACGGTCAACGGTACCGATGTTTTATTAGACCAAAGATTCATTTTGCGCCGGAGTTCTCCTTTAAGATTATGAGATCAGCAACAGTAATAAAGTATTTCAGTGTGGATCGTCATCTTACTAAATAACTATTGGTAAATGGATCTACAAACCGAAAGAATATAACAAAAGGAAGATTATGAAAAAAAAAAAATGATTTTCCTGTAAAATAACGTGGACTGATGAATTGTCCACAGTAGGACCAGAAACATTTATTAAAGATCTTGTTTTTAAGTGGCAAGTAGCAAGCTTTTAAATTCTGATCAAGAATAATGCATATGTTTTGCAGTGCTGTGTCTCACCTGTTTCACAGGTCGGCCCGCTGTACTCAGGCTGACAGTGGCAAACCGGCTCTCCGCTCTCCGTCGCTCTGCACTCTCCGTGCACACAGTGCTGCCCCTTACAGGCGGCGGACTCCTCTCGTCTGTCACAGAACTGGCCAGAGTATCCATCTGCACATGAGCAGCTGTATGAGGAGCCTTTAGGCACACACACACCATTCACACACCTGCACAAGAAGAGAGAGGGTATTACTGCCTGATACAAGCACAACAGTGAGTGTTTGTGTTCATTTGTGTTTGTGTACCTGCTGCTCTGACAGGGGCTCTGGGAGGTCATCTGTTCACACAGTGGGCCGTTGTGGCCGGCGGGACACTCGCAGGTCACCCCTGCCTCTCCTCTCTGTCTGCAGGCCCCTTGAACACAAACGCCGCAGGAGTGACAGCCCGGCAGGACGCCATCAACCCCTGCCCGTCCACCGCCGAGGTCTTGGGGTTCCCCATTGAGCCGTACGTCATGAATACAGCCGTTGAAGGACTGGAATGGACGGTCTGGACCCGGTCGTAGGCCTGCCGTGTCAATCAGAGAGGGAACCCCTAAAATATAAACAACAGGCAAGTATTAACACACACATACGCACACATACAATATAGAGAGGGCCTGAAAATGCTTTACAGTACAATCATTATGTATTCACCCATTTGGACAGCATTTTGTGTGTCTCAAAGAAAGCCACTATGAATCCTTTGAAATACATTGAGGTGTCTTTGACTCTTACCGCCTATATAGAGTTGTGTGTTGTGGTCCACAGCAGGGGGGCGGGGCAGTTTGCCCAGGCTTTTTGGTGCCCCTTTATCCACCACCAAACTTAGGGTCTGATTCTGGATCAGCACCTCCACCATGTGGAAAAGACCATCGTTCACAGACTCCACGCTGGCAGAAAGCAGAAGACAGACAAAAATATAAATCTATTACATTTATATCATTTAATAATAATATTTATATAATTTAGTAGTAGTATGTAAATTTATAATTATATTAATACATTTATAATTTAATAACAATAATAAAAAATAATAGTTTATATATATATATATATATATATATATATATATATATATATATTTAATATTATTTATTATTCATTTGACACACACACACACACAGTATATATATATATATATATATATATATATGGCTGATTATCTGAACTGAGTGTGAAATAAACCATTAGAATATTTATTATTTGAAATTTATAGAATTTTTTACACAAATTACTACTGTCTCTCAGTTGTAGAATTACAACCACAAAATGGTAGAAAACTTATAGTAGGAAACTTATTTTGAAACTAATTCGATTTTTTTTTTAACCAAGCAGGCAGTGTCACTGAAGAGTAGACATGACATTAAATATGATACGTGTGTGGAAAATAAAATCTATTTTTTTACGTCATTTCCCATCAATCTTATATTTTGTCACATTTTGCAAAAACATTATTGTGTGTATTTAGGATACACAAAATGCTAGCTATTAAATTAGCCTTAGCGGCAGTTTTAACTGACCGTATCATGTCACCACTGGGGTAAATTAACTTATTAAAGTATTGTTTTAAGCCCAAGTGAAAAGCCTGAATATGCAATACAGAATATCTCCCCACTGTCTGAAAATGCTATGGTTTCCACATTACACTCCGTCAGGTGTATTTCCAGTGAATTTGGCACGGACATGGGGAGAGCTTATGTTGTGGGAAAAGGAGAGCTTGTGTTGGCCATAAGTTCACTCTTTCTTTGAGTTAGCACGCTCAAATCACATCCTGCTGAGTTTGGCACTGTGTCTGTGCGAACGCCTGAGAGCGATTCTGTTTCACACGGTCATTTTTAAACCATTGAAGAGTGCCGTTTGTTCCCCAGTTCCATGAAACCTCCATGAAACATCTCATAGACCATGACAGCGTGCTCTGACCGGCACAGCTGGGTGATTTTTTCCCCCTGTTTGCAGTGACTGTAGCAAGCTGTTTGGCCCAGATTCTGCTGACTTCTAGGATTGTCTTTTTGTTTAAAGGTGAGATTTAAAGTTATGAACTTATCAATATCCTCTGAACTAACAACAGATCATGAGAATTCAGTCTGCTCGGCTGTAGAAACCCTTGTAGTAGTTATTGCTGGATGGAGCGCAAGCAGTTACAGACAGCTAGAGACAGTGGTTTGGCAAAGAAGCCCAGAGACCAACAGAGAGAGGAGAAGGGGGTGAAAGAAATGATATTGCGGTGAGTAGAGTATATCTTAATCTCCCCTCAGCCTTAAACAAGGTTTTCCTCTTTTTCTGTCTTTGGGGGAAAAAATAAATGAATGAAAGAAAACATTTATTTGTATCTATATTTAATATATTCACGAATATATGTAGTAAAACACCTAAAACAACAGAGCAAATATATTAAGCAAACAAAGGCTAGCATTAAAATGAACTAATTGTTGCTTTGTGGGTAGACAGCTAGTATTTGCGCTGGCTTGCAATGCCATAGGTGCGGATAGAGATCAGTGTCCCCAGATATAGGGGGTACGGTTCACGGAGGTCTTGGCTGAACAAAGACCCAACACAAGCACACGTGTGGTTTACATTACAGGCCCATAATTCAATTCCTGTTTCAAAATAGGCTTTTGCAACAAACACTATATTGTCTGCCGGCTGAGACCCCCCAAACATCTCAAGCCCGCCAATTTAATACATCAGTACCACCAGAGATGAACAACTTTTATATTATATAAGGACATTTTCATCCATTGTCTCTGGTTTTGACAGCCGCCTTTCATTACGTTTGTCTGGGGGCCTACATGCTGGCTGGGAAGGAAATCGGAAGAGTATTTTGTGGAAAAGGTGGTGAGAGTGGGAATGTAATGGAATGAAGAGGAAGGGTCTATTACAAGAATGAAAACAGACTTAATCAGAACATAAATCTCACTATGGGAAACAGAAGCCTTCATTTGGAACTGACAAAATGTTCTTGAATCTATGCAGTGAAGGTCTAGCACCACCAGGGGGCAGTAGAAAACAACTCCTCAGGATGGAGCAAAGCGCTAGCAACTATTGGCCTTTTGTTCATATTCTGACACGCAGAAAATATCCTGAGGCCATAATATTTTTAGAATGGGGGGTTGAGAAGGTGGAGTGTCTTTGATGTGCGACTAGCCTGCATATTAGCTTCAAGCAGCCCATTATGGAACTCAATAAAAACAAACAGAAACCCGTGGAAGATTTCAGAAACCTCATGTCACCCCTCTCACACGAGGGGAAGTCAATTTCCTGTCAGCTGAAAATAAAATACTCTATTTTTCCTTGAGCAAAACCACATTATAAATGACACATACACAAAGTTAGGAACTATTACAGACTCCTTCATCTTGGAGAGTTATCTAGATCAGCAGACCTGTAGACATATTTACATTTTCCAGATTCAATTACACGGCACTATCATTTGCTTACACTAGCTACGAGTAACAGACTGCAGATGTAAAGTCAATTACGCCTTTTTGGAATGTGAATTGCTAAACAAGGTTATGCAGCATTTAAGATATCATGGGGTGGAACCAATAGCTTTGCTTTCCATATGGACTGAAGTAAAGCGCTAACATCAAAACATTTGTAAGTAGCAAAGCCTAAGTAGCCTTCCTTAAGCTCAAACAGAAAAAGCATGGCACTAGCAATGCCACAGTCATTGGTTAGATTGTCAGGGAAAGCAAGAGCTGATAATATCTGTACCTTGAATGCAACACAAGTCTTTGTATAAAAGAATCAGCCACATAAATGTGAATTATCTAGGCCTATGCTAATGCTACACTAAATCTTTGTGTGTGGACAGTTAGCATTAGCATCCCACAGCTTTGATTATTCTTTTGCTATTATAGACCCCTTTACAGTTGGTAAACATGGTGACGTTTTTTTGTGGGCGGAGCTTAGGTGGAGGCAGAAAGCTCCCTCTGGCCGCTTCACTAATGCTAGTTAGCAAGGATTGTTAGCTTGTTTTTTAACAATGACTGGAGAAAATCCGATATTATCTTAATGTGTAGTAAGATCACTCAGTGCCAGGACCGCGATTGTTATTTCCAAAAGTTATTTTTAACGGACAGAACCAGATTGGCCGACCCGTAGCCGCCTACACACTCACTCAATGCATGGACGATCTGACAGGATTAACGTTACGTTACCTCGGTTGAGTGGCCTGACTTCTACACCTACCTTATAGAGAAACCGATCGTGAATAGAAACTGAGGGCATATCAATCTTTAGATGCTTATATGGTCCTGTACAAGACTTGTGTGTACGATCCGCAGTTCTGCCGAGACCACGACAATGTAAAGAGTGACATTACAGTGCAATTTTAATGATGTGAATATTTTCTAGAAATAAAAGTTCCAGATACAGCATATTCATTTTTCATCAATTCTTGGACCAAACAACACAACAAGATGACATTTAATAATAGTAACAATTATTTAAGCTCCTTATTATGTAGCCGAATCTGTGCTGTTTTGTATTGGCCGCTTCCAGTTTACACTTTGTTTTGCCTCCAGCTAGCGCCGTGACGTAACTGTGACGTCGGCGCAAAAGGGGTCTATAGTATTAGCGTTGTTGCACATAGCCAAGCCATTCTTACAACACCACAACCATTTGTTCTTCTCCAACCCAAGGACATCTTACTTACTCAGGCTGAATTACCACTACTTTCCTGACATTCTTCTAACACAGGAACTTAGTGCGGGTGAAACGAAAACGGGCCTTAAAAACATACTCTGACCCTTCCCCATTCATCCCAACACTGTTCAGCATTAAACCCAGTTGACATGCCAAACATTAGCTGCTTTTAGATCTGTGGTTAGGTGTGGTGCAGGATGGCGAGCCCACGCTGAGGAGCCGGGGGCAGGGAACGCTGCAATTCTAACATTCTCATTCAATTTCCTGCGATGTCTCCACAAACCGACGCTTCTGCTGAGGAACTGCCCACGCCGCTGCTTAAACTAATACTCAGATTAGCGTGACATTTAGTAAAGGGCAGCACATTAACACGCTGCATGGACCTAAGCATTCATCTCATGGTAATGAGGCATTACTGCTAGTTAAGAGCCTCCTTCACTCTTCTCCCCAGTGCACATATCAGTCTCTCCATCTCTCTTCTCCCCTCACCCACACCTTCCATCGCGGCAGGATCACATTGCAGAGATAAGTGTCCTTCACTCTTCATTGGCTCTCAGTCACTCTTCATCTCTCTGGGGTCTGATCTGTCTTCTTCTTTACCACTGCCAAGAACCTCCCTTTCCCTCTCACCTTTACCATTTTCTTCATAATATTTCCTTGTTTATCCTGTCAGGGATCTCTTCTCTCGCTGAAGTTCAGCAGGGGTAAGGTGTAAGAAGAGCTGAGTGGGACCTGTAGATGGTGTGGGAATCTTGCAGTTTTTCCCCTCTGATCTTCGCCCCACAGAGTCTTTATGACCCAGTTCCACATTTGAAGTCAAGCACCCGCAGAGAGCCACTGAACCAGACTAGGCTCAGGAATGCTCCAACCACAGCCTCAAAACGCCAGCTTCCATGGTGGGAAAACCAAAGCAAGGGATCTGCCCATACGCTGCATCCACGTCCAAGCATTGTGGCGTACGACGAGTTACAAATTGGGAAGCTGGCTCTTCAGGGACTCTGTTAGCTCTGGTTCCACATTGTTAGCACTAACTATGACATGGAGACCTCAGGAGCATGTTTGTCAGACCGGGGTGTGCCGTGTAGTCCCATGGCCAAGTCAGCTAAATTAAGATGGAAGTATAATTTCTCTCCTTGCATTTCCACACATCATAATGTCACTTAGGGAAAAACAAGATAATAAGAAGGTGAGCATGGATCACCCTGCTCCTGGAGGGCAACCTTCCTGCAGACTTCAGTTCCAACCCTGCTCCAACACACCTGTTATACCTTGAACACCTTGATTAGTTAGTTCAGGTGTGTTTGATTAGGGTTGGAGCTAAACTCTGCAGGATGTTAGCCCTCAAGGAGCAGGCTTGGAGACCTATGATTAACTGAGGGTGCCATGATCTTGGATTTACTAGGGTCTAATAGTCTACAAAAAGCCTTGGCATCAAAATTGACTTAATTCAGTCAGACCTCTGCATAATAATTGAACTGTTCGAGCACACAATGGAGTCCTGGTCTAGCAGTTACTACATGTGCTATGATACATTAAGCCATTTATGACCAATTCTGCTCCTGGAGGGCCAGAATCCTGCAGAGTTTAGCAACCCTAATCAAACACACCTGAACCAGCAAATGCAGGACTTCAATCATACTAGAAAATTCAATGCACGTGTATTGAGGAAAGGTGGACCTAAACTTTGCAAGACTTTGGCCCTCAAGGAGCAGGTTTGGACACCCATGAATTAAGTGCTGGTGCTCATACGCCTTATTCACGGCAGCGCCATCTTTGATTTATAATGAGAATGAAAGCGAGGCTGTGAGGGATAGACTTGCATCTCTTCAATGGGTTGTACTGTTATTTAATGTGCTTTCGGATTGTTCTGCTCATGAAACACTGGAAAAATATCTTTCCACGAAATGTCAGTTGACAAAAAACTCCCGACAATGTAAGCTGTGGAAAATTGTAAGTAATCTAGGAGCTTTATTCAGCTTTTTACAGCGGATGCCATTGGAAACACGGTAAGGGCCAGTTCACATATCACATCTTTTGCGCGCTCAAGTTCGTTATTTCAAATGTAGGCGCGTGGTTTGCGCGCTCATAATGAAAGCGATGCGGTCGCGGTGCGACGCGATCGTTTTTTCCATGTGCGTCCGCGCCGCGTCGAGATAAAAACATCTCAACTTTTTAGAATACCGCAAGCGCACCATACGCACACAATAGGTCATGTGACAAGAACCAACTGAAGCGCAACCGCCCTGGCGCTTTGGAAAATGGAGAATACGGCGCGCCCAGCGTTTTCTACGCATTTTAGGCGCTATATGTGAATCCGGCCTAAGTCTATCCCTCACAGCCTCACTTTCATACATGTCATGGCGCTGCTCTGAATAAGGTCTACAGTTAGTGCTCATCTCTCCTGTATTATTATTATTTATTTATTTATTAGCAGGGTTTAGCTAAGAAAGCAAAATTAATTATATATTATGTCTGTACTTGTATGCAAATTGCCTAAAAATTTAAGTAGCTGACCAGTACATTTCAAGATGCAGAAGTAACCAATTCTGGGAACAATAGTGGCAATGGCAAGGCCTTAAAATAAAGCCAAGTTTTTGGAGTCATAATTTAGTTTTTAGCACCCATGCTACAGCCATTTTGAGCTATGAATATGGGAAATGTACTGTATGTTCGGTCTGTTCCACTCTAAATAAAATGTCAAAAAAAGTACAATTGCTCTAAATACATGCAGTTAATTTGGGTGTTTCTAATTTTAATTGCATGCATCCTTGGTCTGCAATGACAAGCAATCTGGTTGAAATGTTATTTTCCATACTGAGACTCTCTCATAAAGCAATCGATTCAGCCCTTGCTGCAGGCAGAAGGGAAGAGTGGCCCTATGCAGCAGGAACGATCAATACCAAGTCATCAAGCAGGCAGGCACCCAGCTCACCGCTGTTCACTTCTACTGCCTGCTAAAACAGTTGCCGGTCACAAACGTTCACACTCTGCTCCTGCAGACGTAAATGCCGGAGATCCTGATAAATGCCACATACCCATTCTTAACAGACATAGACGAGAATGACGATTTTTATCTAGAAATGCTTTGAAACTGTAGGCTTTCATTGTCTGCGTGTAGACTGGATTTAAAAGCTTGAATCTGGGCTCTTGAAACCCATTACAGAGCCTGTGCAAGCTTAATGACATCCGCAGTGACCCACCAGGCCGGAGTCAAGCACCATCTGCTCCAGACTCAACAAGCCAGTTGTCTGCTGAAAGGGCAGAAGGTGAGGGCTAAGAGCTCTGTGTTTATGGGGGCTCCAATGAGCATAGAAATCATGGCGGATGCAGCACAGAAGTGTTCGCATGGGAACAGACCAGAGAAGCAAGCTCTCGCCTGAGGCAGATTCAAGTCATGTAAACCCGGGGCTCCTATATGGTTTTATGATGTGCCATGAGCTTACAAGGATTAAACTTCCCTGAGAACAGGGAGCAAACGTACCCACAAACACTCCTTTTTCACCTCAAACTATTCTGAAAGAGAGCAGGGTGCCTTTGAAACTCAATGATTTTTATGGAAGACGAATGAGTGTGCATTTTTGATGTATGGAAATAATTTACAGTGGTATAGCTGTATGGGTTTATTTATTGTGTAGAACAGAAGTGTGATTGTGTTGGTACAAAACCTAGTAAACTACACAGGCAGCTGACTTCTTAGGGAAAATCATACGTGCGATAAACCCTCGTACAGAACTTAAAGTTCTCCCTTTTTTTCGTTTTTGTTCTTGCTGCAGATGAAATGGTTAAACTTCCGTTTTTGCGCAGGATCAGTGAGGGGAAAAAACACTGAGTTTAGGGCAAACGGTTCGTAACTCCGCTTCAACTGTGTGATATAGTCACGAGGAGCGACCAAAATTCATCCGACCATCTTATTGAGGGTCGGGCGAGGTTAGTAGTAGTCTCATCCCAAGACGTCATATAACTGACGTCTTGGGACGTCTTTTGACCATATGTCAACATCCGCCTTGTTAGGGCCCCCTTAAACGTCGGTAGATGACGTTATCGGATCCTAACCCTACCCCAGACCTAAACCTACCCCGTCACCTAACCGACGTTAAAGGTAAAGCGTCAGTTGTATGACGGCCCGGGATCGTCATCTACCGATGTTTAAGGGGGCCCTAAACTGGCGGATATTGACGAATGGTCAAAAGACGTCCCAAGACGTCAGTTATATGACTTCTTGGGATGAGACTGTGTTATTTCACCCTGTTCACTGCACGACAAACAACGCACGACAAAGCTGAAAATCAGCCCGACCCAAAAAAGAGGCACACAAGTCAGAATTCGGCTCAAAAACTGACGAAAATCGCACAGTGTATGCCCGCCTTAAGGGGTAACATAATTATACCTATTATGTCGAGAGAGCCAACACTCGCGAAAAAATTTGCTCAAATTGTATCTTTTTTTCAACAAAAGTCAGCTGGAATGCGTACAGCAAAATGTGTCATAAAACTTTTGACAGCTGGCTTCAGGGCTTTTTGTTAAAAATACAGATCATACTTCCCTGCAATACTAAAGGGACAACTTTGTTGTTAAAAAGTGCTTATTAGTACCTTATAGTTCTGCTTGCTAAGGTACTACTATGATCCTTTTGAGGATAAATAATGTACAAAGTTGTCACTTTGAGGGTACTTCCCCTAAAAGTATTGTGCCGCAAAATATCACACATTTTATGTTAGAGTGTAGGATGCCTTAAAATAGTGTGTGTGTGTGTGTGTGTATCTGCTCACCTGTACACTGTGGTTGGGGGGTACTTGGCAACATCATAGATCAAACGAATGTGTCCCTGGTACAGCTCTAGGGCGAGTGGGTCATGGTCCTCTTTGTACAACAGAATGCCATTGTCCTTATCTGTGGCCACCTACAAAGTCAGAGAGGCAGAAAATGGGAAATAGACAGCAAAAGATTAGTGAGGGAGAACAGCAGGAATACTTCTGAAGAAGTAAAAGAGGGATGTAGAAAACAATCAAGAGCGTGCGATAAGCACACTATTTCAACACAACACGCACACCGAGAGAACCGCCGTAGGCCAGGCACTTAACTCCCTGTTTAGTGGAGGGTATCAAACGATACGCCTGCGAGCAAGCTGTGATGGAAAACAGCTCACGTTTATATATAAGCAGTAGGGCGGGAGGACAGTTGATGGCTTATGGAGTGTAGAAGCCTCTCTACACATCAGTTGAGATCGAGTGGACTGCTTACACTCATAGCCTGGAGACATATGAGCAGTTAATGTGTCCCTGTATTCGGTTTCTGTCAGTGAATATGTCACAGGAGGACTAAGTCATTAACACTGTTTAGCACAGTTTTACTAAGAACGCTGGAAATAAAAAAGCAACCTAATTTGATTGCTTTTCTATATTTGCTGCTCCCAAGCGCCCGGCCTCTGCGTGTTGCCTTTTAGGGCCCGTTCACGCTCAGTCTGATGTGAATGAAGGGAGCGAAAGTGTAACATATTCTGAAATATTTGGCATCAAGTCTACAGATAAAATGATGTTGTTCTCTTAGGTTTGACTTAATGGAAAAACCACACAACAATGTTTTACTGGAATAAAAGTTGTGTCTCTATTTTTTAAGTAATATGTAATCCTATATTTTTTTTTTTTGACAATTAAAGGTAAACTAAGAAGATTTAGAGGAAATTGAAAATGCGTTTTGTTAAAATTGGATTCCATCACACAATTTGCATTATCAGTCTTTGTCAGGTGATGTCACACTCGTGATACACGAAGTGCATTATGCATTCCTACCGAAGGATACATACAGTAACTTGGTGAAATGTCTGTGGGCTTTAAGAGATAGTTTTTTAAATTGTTCACTGGTAACGTTATATGCGCTTATACTGTACCATAAACAAGATAGTTGACAATGCCCAAGTATGAGGATGAGAAAGCAATGCGGGATCAGCACTCCAGCTTACTGTAGTCAGCTAAGCTCAAATATGGATCTATGTTCTGAATGGATGACAATTTCTCCAAATAACGGTACCTGCCATATTTAGCGAGTTTATTGCGGTACGGCATTTTCTCACTTTTCTTGTGCTTCTGCAGTTTTGCGATTTATTTACTTGTTATGTCTACTCTCGTAATCTCTTCAATGCTCACAGTCAGTAGCGATACCTCAAAAATGGAGCCTCGGTGACGTCATACACAACAAACCCACGTGTCTGACAAGACACATTAGACAGATTAATGACAATTAATTACTTAATTAATTTAATCATCTAGGAAAATTTCTGAAAACTGGCATCACTTATCGGTATATCTGTGATTATCTGAACAATGAACAAATTGACCCAGCTTCTGCATAAACAAACAATGTAACATAACAGTTTGAACTTAGAGTGAAAGAGTTCATACAGATGCAGATGTTTCATTTCCAAACCTCGTTGTTCATGTTTTCCTTTTCAGAAAATTCAGACTTGGTTTAGAAAGCAACACTAAGTATAATGCACTATTACTTTACTCACAAAGGCAGAGATGTATAAAGTACTAGAAACCCGGACTTGAGTAAAAGTACAAGTGCTCTATCAAAAAAGTGACTTGAGTAGAAGTTGAAGTGCTCTTTAAGCACCACACTTAAGTAGAAGTACTAAAGTATTCAACATTTTTTGTACTTAAGTATTGCAAGTAATTTTAAAATTCACTACTTAAAGGGTTAGTTCACCCAAAAATGAAAATTCTGTCAGTATTTACTCACCCTCATGTTGTTCCAAACCTCTATGTGTTTATTTGTTCTGCTGAACACAAAGGAAGATATTTGGAAGAATGTTTTAATGAAACCGATCTCAATCCCCATTGACTACCATAGTATGTATTTTTTCCTACTATGGTAGTCAATGGGGAATGAGATCAGTTTCATTAAAACATTCTTCCAAATATCTTCCTTTGTGTTCAGCAGAACAAATAAACACATAGAGGTTTGGAACAACATGAGGGTGAGTAAATACTGACAGAATTTTCATTTTTGGGTGAACTAACCCTTTAAGTACTAAAAGTAAAAGTACAAGTATTTTGTCATGTAATTATTAAAGAAAGCAGTCAAAATTGGAACTAGCAATCAAATAAGGTGCTTTGGCAGGATACAAATTTGCTTTGGTGGCCGCCAAAAAAATGTCATCGCAGGACAACCCCTGCATTAGTCGTCAATATGTGTGTCAATCAATACCATTACCCTATAAAACTGGCGTGTGATTTAGGCAGCATGAAAGCCAACTTGCAACGAATGATTCGTAACATTTTTATAGTTGTAATGAGTAACTAGCAGAACATTAAAAACATATCGAAGTAAAAGTATTACTGTAAATTCATCGAAAATATCTACTGAAGTAAAAAAACAATACTCTAGTAGAATACAGATACAGCATTTTAGTACAGTACTAAAGTAGTTCTACTTTGTTACTATACATCTCTGCACAAAGGCCACTCGATTTGCAAACTGAGAGATGCCGACGTCCACACGGAGATAAACATCTACTGAGCTCTTTTTAATTTCTCCTTCTTTAATTAACAATAGTGTGCCCTCTCGACAGTGAGAAGATATAGGCTCATTTGTTGCAGATCTAGCGGTCACACAGTACCCCTGATTACAACGGATAACAGCCCAGCTCAACCTCTATTACCATAATATATGTCCTCAGGAGAAGAATTATTCACACAGGTGGACAAGAGGTGACATTTGCATAATGTCAGAGAGGCCGTAGCTGGCTCAAACCATGCACTGCGGACAAAAATAAAAAGACCTAGAATAGACGACAGAGAGGAAGATGGCTTCTCATGGCCGCTGATTTGAGTTTGGTTGATATGAAGACTGTCCTGAGGCTAGTATATTACAGAAACTGATCTGGGACCTATTGTTAAGCATTACAGGAAGTGGTTGCAGGTGTACCTGGAGGGATATGTGCATGGGTGGTCGGAACTTGGCGCCGGAGAGCTCTACGTAGGTGTCTTTGCCGAGGAAGTGGACTGTGACCATTTTATGGCACTTGATGCCGAAGAAGCCAGGGAGACAACGGCACACGGGCTCTCCCTCCACGACCAGACACTGGGCTCCGTTTTGACACTCAGATTGATCACATGGACTCGTCTTTTGGAGCAAAACCATTGGTGGATGATTCTCACAGAACAACCCACTAAGGAAATAGAGAGGGAGAGATATACAAGGCATTTACACTCCTGGTCAAAAGTACGAATAATTAGTAATTAGTCAATATGTATTTTATGCTCACCAAGGCTGCTCTTATTTGATCAAAATACAGTAAAATAATCATTTTCATATATTTAACAATGTAATTTATTCCTGTGAAGGCAAAGTGCTCAGTGTCACATGATCCTTCAGAAATAATTACTGAATAATGTATATTAAGTATAATATTGAACAAAATATATAAGCAAATTTGGTCACACTTTGTGTCAACAGTGTCTTTGTTGTACATGTTACATGTAGTTTCTAAAGTAATGGCTAAAAACTGTTAATCAATATTGCACGTACAATTACAATGTAATTACACGGACACCGCAAAATAAAGGGTGACCACAATTTTTCAAGCACTTTTAATTGAACTTTCCTTCTTTCTTAAATCTAACTTACACAGGAGAAGAAGATGGTGTTAGAATATTGATAGAGTGTCAGGATGGGTGGTAAGCCAGATTAATGCTGGGCTCAAGGCACCATCAGGCCCTTAATCAGTAACTGTGGTGAAGTGAGGGATGCTGGGGAGAGAGCTATTGTTCTGCCACACGTGCACACACACACATATGCTAGTGTTTAATTAGACCTATGGAAATTCATCTTCTGCGTATCTCAGATTTAATGATACACTAGCATATAATAAAGCACCAACAGAAGCTGTGTGTGTGTGTGTGTGTGTGTTTTCACCATTTATAAAGACTTTCATAATCATAATTGTGGTGAGTAGGAAGAAGCTGAGGGCTGTGATAGAACAGCGCGAGGCCTGTGGCGTGATTAATGATGGGCGACACTCCGGTTTCATATCTCAAATGGCGGACCGGAAACAAAAGGTGGAGCTACGACAGTGAAGGATGAGAGAGGATCAAGCCTGGACTATTTTATTTGCTCTTTCCTTTTTTTATTTATTTATTATTTATTACAGTATTTAAATGTTCGCCTCCATCTTCCCATAACAACAAACTGTGTAACAATAATAGTTAAAACCTTAATATTATCATTATTATTATTATTCAAACTAGAAAAGTCAATGAAAAGACCAAAACGGTTCTCATCAGTTCTACATCTGTCATTTTTTTTTCCAGAACTTATTAGTAGTTATAATTAGCTTAAACAACATATGTCTATGCTGTGTCCTTTACATAGGTAAAGCAAACACACCTGAGTGTGAACAATGCTCGTGTCTCACCTGAACCCCTCCCTACACACACATGTGTATCCGTTGATGGCGTCGACACACTCTGCCCCATGCTGGCATTTGTTCTCCAGACAGTCATTGTAATCCTGCTCACACTGCTGGCCAACATAACCTGGCAAACATTCGCACCTGAAAAAGAAAACAATAAAAACTATTCAGATGCTAGCGCTGACTTGCAAAAGAGGCAGCTCTGGCACTACACTTAAATAGGAGTGAAGGTTCTTCTTTGCGGGGGTCATGGTGCTATATAGCACCACTACCATTTAAAGAACCTGTTAAGCCCAGTTTGGTTCTTCAGTGGTTCTTTATGGTGGTTAACATGCTCTATGGCACCTCTTATGGTTCTACATAGCACCATAGACAAAGATAAGTTCCCATACGGTTACAAGCCAATGAACCACCATTTTTTAGAGTGTAGGTGAGTTAAATACTACTTGGTAGTGACGATGACACTACTACAACTGGCTGACCATTCCAGGCATGTAATGTAGTCTTTCCTGTGAAGTTCTGACCTATTCTGTGTTCTCCCATGCCCCATTTCCCAGAGGAGCTCACACACTCACCTGTAGCCCTTACTGAGAGGAACACACTTGGAGTCATGTTGGCAGAGGTCAAACCCAGGCAGACAGGGGTCAACCACCTCCTCACACAGATCACCTAAGACACACATAAAGAAAAGGAACAAATCACTCTAACAGTTGTCCGGATTTTATCACATGCTGAAACACTCATGGCCTCAACTGGGTGAAGCTCACAGTTGGCTAAAGGAGCTCTTTGACTGAACATTCAGCATGTGCGAGCCTCCTTGAGATGTTTTCGCCCCTCACACCATCTGCCAGCATTTAGACTGTGAGGCTTTTCTCCACCAGGCTCAACTGAAAACACATCTTTGTGTGATGGCAAAGTCTTTCTTGAGCACTCAGCCCAGCAGGGTCCAATCGAAGGCACTAAATCACTGCCAACCAGAACCTTCAATACATTGCCTGTTCCCGTCCACCTGCTGTAGGACGTCCGGCTTTGCAACAGGCTGTAGTCTGATCCAAACTCCGCATCCCTGCACTCATTCACCCAGATTCCGAGCATTTCCTGTCCAGCACACTTGTGTTGGTGTTGCTGGCTGCATGGCACAGCAGCAGCCGCTCAAAAACAGATGTACCCTCTTTGTGCTCTGGCCCTTGAGACAAGGTTTAGGTGGTCTGCTGCCAGGCCAATTTCCTCTAGACCCTTTCTGCAGCAACTGTGTGTGTTCTTAAGGGTCACACACGACTGCCGATGTTTCCTGCGTGCACCTCACAGGCTGGAATCTGGCAAACAGTTCAGGCTGTAGAGTGTTAAATCAAATCTGAATGTTGTTGGTAAGACTAGTACAGGATGAGGTTAAGAACAATCTTCAGTAAATTTGTAACAGCTGTTAAAATGCGTTCAGAGAAACAGAAATACAATGGCAATGGAGAAGGAATGAATGTTTAAAGGTGCCATATACAATAATTGAGGTAACAATATACGAAAAATGAGCTACACGCATCAAAAGAATGAGAAGAAATAAGTGCAAAGATGTCATTAAAAAACTGACAAGTTATAGTGCTGCCGAGATATTAACCTGAATTAGCATGCTAAATTACTAGCCCCGGCCCGGCAGGTGTCGTAATACCAGTTCCGGCCATGGGAGGCGGTATGCGGACGGGCAACGTTAGCACCAGCCAAACTGCAATACGCGAGTGAGTCGCGCTCGCGCCGGCTTGTGTGTGTGTGTGTGTGTGTGTGTGTACTTGAACCTGATGTCAGTCGTGTGGAAATACAGCCCACTACTACATTTCAGTTCAGGGAAGAGTTCAAAAAATGATTGGTCGACATTATGCATGAGGAATACATTTTGGTAAGTTGTAGCATACTGTATCTTTCAACAGAGTTCATGTTCTTTTTCCAGCTAGTAGAGACGATCGGTTCACGTGCGCTAGGGATCTGTAGTGTAACATGTACAAGCGCCAAAACGGTATTTATTCTTTGAATTGCGTAATATAATTGACAGAATCTGAGAGCTTAACTAACCTGCTTGCTAAGTGTCAATTGCGTGTGTCTCACGGTGAATTCACGGCGCTAGCTTGATCAACATCAGCGAATGCTGTCTGTCAAATTAATTCACTAACAATAAAAGTGTAATATGAACAAAACGAATACCATAAACTTCAAATAATTGCCCAAGCTTTTATTTTCCCATACCGTCAAAATGCACCAGCTTGTTTTTGAGATCTATGAGGCGGTCTTCATCATTTAGTGTTGAGATTCATAGTGTTTAGTTTAGTTCACTCTAGTGTTTAGTTCTTTGAGTCTCTGATCTCTAAAAATCTCCAAATGTTCCACGTGAAACTGCGGTCTTCCAACCTTTTACTATCATGTCAAATGATTTGAATAACATGCGCGATGGTAGGAGCACAAGTCATTTTTTGGAGGTATACTGCCCCCATCTGTTATGGAATATGGAGTAGGATTTGATTTATTATGGTAGATGGCACCTTTAAGAGACTTGACCTTTGGCAATCTGTGAAGATTCAACATTAAAGAAGGGCTAAGATGAAGTTGCCTTGCATAGTTTGGATAATGAGCTTTTTTTTGTAATTTAGAAGTTCAAAAGTTTTGGTTCTGTATGATTTAAAACTAAATTTATTTGATCAAAAATACAGTAAAACAGCATTGTGAAATGAGTATTAGAGACCATGTGACACTGAAGGATTATGTGACACTCACAATATGAAAATCCAGCTTCATCACAGGAATAAATAACATTTTAAAATATATTCAAATAGACATATTCAAAATGTAATTACTTCCTGTGACAAATCTGGATTTTCATATTCATTCAGTCTTCAGTGTCACATGATCCCTACTATACTAATTTCATGCTCAAGATACATTTCTAATTGTTACCATGTTGTGTTGCTTACAGTATGTGGAAACTGTGATACTGTTTTGATGAATGGAAAGAACAGCATTTGTTTGAAATAAAAAGGTTTTGTAACATTAACTTTTCATCCTTGATGAATACAAGTTCTAATATCCATGAAAAAAAGCAACTTTTTTCCACAAACTTCTGAAAGGTAGTGCAAGTCCCAGTATAACTGTAAATGGGGACATGTTAAAAAAGGAGAGAAAACGTCACCAGTCTTTAAAAATCTCCAACTCTCCACTTTCATTTCAGCCACATAATTACATCCTTTTTATATGAAACTACTAAAAAATATATTTGCTGCTCAAGCCAGACTGGTACAGATGCCAGTCAGACAAAGAGAGTAAGATGAGCAACATCAGTTAGATTGAGGGAGATCTAACTAACAGCTTCCTGCATGCAAGAAAAGGCTCAAATGATGTTTCTGAGAACAAATGAGGACTAAAGCATAAAAAGACCTCAGTAATCCCACACGTCTCCTCCAGAGTTTCTATATCTAACTCCTGGGACTTTCAGAGGAAACTAAACCGAGAACTCCATTAAGAGCCCATTCTCTTTCTTTAAAACTCAGTTTAAGGCTGTGCCCTTTAAGCAGACAGCTGTGTGTGCCCTACAAGCTTATGGATGTGGCCAGGCTTGGACCGCAGCAAGTACACACACTCTCTACACACCAAATGTACCCGCTCCAGGGGAGGTGGCAAAGAGGAATGCCGTTATAATGACAGGGCCCGCTAGGAGCAGTTGCACTTCCTATTTTGAGGAAGGAAAAGAGCGGAGGGCAGAAAAGAAGGGAGGACCAGCACTTGGCAGATCAGAAGTGGAAATGAACAGACAGCTGAACTCTAAATTCGCTGAGTCAGAACTTTTGTCAAAAACTGGTTTGTTCAGTAAAACTGTCCTATACCAGCCTTAACATGTATATTATTTTTGTTTCCTAATGTTTTCTTAACCACCTCAGTTGTGGCTGGAGGATATAACTGCAATTGGAACAGTCTGGCCGGTGAAATGGCCTCATTGCGGTACGACTGAAACGGACAAATAGGGTAATATGCCGAAGAAAATTGCATCAGCGTCTGAGACACTCTGCATTTATAGGCTGGTTCAATGAGGTTGAACTGGTACCTTTGTAGTTAGGAGGGCAGACACAGGTGTAGTTGTTGATGCCGTCCACACAGGTGGAGTTATTCTCACAGTCGTTGTCTTCACAGTCATCGGGATTCAGCTCACACTGCTGGCCCTCATACCCAGGTGGACACACACAGCTACAGGAATGATAAGGCACAAGACAATGGTCAATACTTCACATGTTAGAACAAAAGAAAACTCATGGTTTTCAGTGATTTAGCTCTGTTTGGTGACACCCTAAGACCTGACACAATGTTTGTCTTTTGTCCTGCAGCCATAACGGTGTCATTTGTTGCTAGTCATGTGTCATTGTTTGGTCTCTAAAGCTATGTCTCGTTTCGAAGGCTGTGTCCTCCGGAAGTGGTGTTTGTCAGTGGCAGTTATTATTATAAAATGAACAGTTATTCCAAGTAAAGTATAAATCGCTGGCCTTTCTTAATGACTTTGGAATGAGGTCAGATTATTGAAATGAAGCAGCCTCGATGATGTATTGCTATTGTAGGGCTTTAGAAGACTTATTCAGAAGGAATATAGCATATGAGTTATATAGATCACTTTTATGGAATGCTTTGTCTTTTTCTAAACTATTGAAGGGATAGTTCATTTTGAAATTAATTTTTGATATGTTTTAGCTTACCTCAAGGGCATCCAAGATGTAGGTGTCTTTGTTTCCACAGTATTTTCAATTTTGACCATTGTTGTCTATCAGTCATACTCTGGAGGCTAAGGGGGTCCACCAAAAAGCATGCACAGAGAAGTCAAAATTAAACATGATTTAATGACTCGTAAATTGATGGCCTAAGACATGAAACGAGCGGTTTGTATGAGAAAACGAACAGTATTTATATCGTTTTTACCTCGTGTAATCAGCCATGACCAAATGATCTGACGGCACGGGCGCTTCGGTCTGCGCATGCGCTGGAAATGATGGCTTGCGCGCCTACGTCACTCTTTGTTTATACAGAGATTTCGGAAGTTTTACCTTTCACTAAACATATTTAGATATACGGGAAACCGCAATGGAAGATGATTTCGGTATATCTTATGTTTATTAAAAGGTAAAACTTCCGAAATCTCTGTGTAAATATTGAACTGACGTCAAACGCAAGCGATCACTTCCGGCGTAACACTTAACTGATTCAGTTCGGTTCAGTTGGACATTGCACAACTAATTCAGGTAAAACGATATAAATACTGTTCGTTTTCTCACAAAAAATGCTCGTTTCGTGTCTTAGGCCATCAATGTGTACTTACATTTACGAGTCATTAAATCATGTTTAATTTTGACTTCTCTGTGCATGCTGTTTGGTGGACCCCCTTAGCCTCCAGAGTATGACTGATAGACAACAACGGTTTGACTGAAAAATGGCAAAATTGAAAATGCTGTGGAAACAAAGACACCTACATCTTGGCTGCCCTTGAGGTAAGCTAAAACATATCAAAAATTAATTTCAAAGTGAACTATCCCTTTAAGTCACTGGTCACCACCCACTTTCTCTGAGGAAAAGAGCAGCCTTAACATTCTGCGAAAAGCCTCCTTTTGTGTTACACCAAAAACAAGCAATATGATGGCGAGCAGATGATGGAAGCACTGTTATTCTTTTAAGATGGAGATCATATATAAAGATTGAGACCAGAAAAGGGTAGAGTCTGCGGTAAGACAGAGTCCACATGCTCCAAGCCCATATTTAAAGGGTCTTGGTCCTCAAGTCCAAACCAAAAACCATATATTCATGGTCTTGTCTTGTTGAGAGCATGAGGACTCGGTCTTGACTCAAACTCAACCCTCTTCTGGTCTTGCTCTTGACTCAAACTCAAATGAGCTGGTCTTGACTACATCACCTCCTGAAATCCTAAGCAGCCCTTAATATGTGTATTTTTTCTCTGTTGTTTTGTCTTTCTGTTGCTATCCGTAAGTCTTGTGGGTCTGATCCATCAGTGACTGAGGCTCAGTGTTTGATAAACCTCCATCTCCATGGTGAATTGTAGAGCAATAGCAGTAAAACTTATCTCAGCGTTTAGCAGATCCCACACCCGTTTGTACCCTTCCACCCAGTCCCTGCCCTCTGGCTGCCAACACTCAGGGGCTACGCCAGAAACTGATATATTCCACCCACAGACACATAAAAACACACAAATCTATGGGCTCATTTGCTGGCTGTTTTTTTTTTTTGTAAAGTCATTGTGCAACTCTGTTTTCCTCTGGATGTGAAGCGGCTGCCCTACAAAAATGTTCTAATATAACATTACCAAAGTTGCCGGGTGATTTATAGGGCACAGGGGACATTTATTGTGCCATTACAACAATCTGCCTGCCTCTTGCTTCTTTCAAATGTCCAGCGGTATTCCAAGCTTTAATTTTTTAATGCACAGATTTTGTCCAGATGTGCATTTTTAACACAGGACATTCAAATGAACTTATTTCAGTTTTTAAATCTTCTTTATATCACTTTGACGTGTAGTGATAGTGGAAACACTATGCAGGGTACATTCAGACCTATGTTACCAGAATTAGCGGTGACACTTTATTTTGATAGTCCACTTTAGACATTCTACTAACTATAAGTAACTTTTCAACTACATGTCAACTAACTGTGATTATAGTATTAGTTGACTGTCAGCTTAATATCTGCTAACACTTTATTTTGTTGGTCCCCCAACAGACATTCAACTGACTATAAGTAACTTGGCGACTACAAGTAAACTTATTCTCCTAATCCAAAACCATAACCTAACAGTCTACTGACAGTCTAATATAATATACTAATACTAATGAGAGTTAGTTGACATCAAGTTGAAAAGTTACTTATAATTTTTAAAACGTCTAAAGTGACTATCGAAATATAGTGTAACCGAATTAGCAGCACAACTCAACATGTCAAAATATAATTTGTACAAGTCTGGATGTACCTGTACTGCCCGTCCAATCCAGGTGTGAGGTGGCACGTGCCTCCATTGATACACGGCAGGCTGATGCAGGCGTTAATGGGAATCTCACAGTTACGACCCTGAGGAAAGTAAAGAACATTGAGCATGGATTAAGAAAGAGAGAGCTCGGGTTTTAACATGTCTGACGCTTAGATCCCGAGCCATCACAATCAGATGGCTGGAATAAAAAGCATCATCTACAATATAACATAATGAGTTCTGAGTAAAATGTCAACTGAAATGTTAAACGCAATTTGCCATTCAAACAGGGTTATGGAGTGGATACTAAAGGGCAATGATTAGCAGCGCTTGCTATGGTTATTACTAGCGTTGCTCATATTTATAATTAGGATTAGGACTGCAATTATTATAATTAGGATAATTTATAATTCTAATCCCTTAAAGCTACACTGTGTGATTTTTACCCCCATATAGTGGTGAAAAGGTACATAACCATCCAGTGAATATTAGTTTCTGTTCCTCTCAATTCCGATTTCGTTTTAACTCCTTCGGAGGCCAGTGTAGTCCAAGATTAACATGGCTTCCAGTTCGACCTCGTCCATGAGTGTTAACTAAAACGTAAACGTGAAAGGCGAAGCTTGAATTAACGGGTATGTCCCTCTTTGGCTAATGTACTTTCAAAATGGAGGGGCAACATGGCGAACCCCTTACCCGTATGTATTTTTAATGGCAAATTACATGTACGAGAATACTTTATTACTTGAACGAAGTAAATATACATTAATAAGCACATATATTTTTGTGTTTTTAGCTGAGAATAAACTAAAAGAGTTACACAGTGTAGATTTAACCACCAGAACAAACTAGCAACCACATAGCAAAATAATATAAACATTTAGAACATTTTGGCCAAGGAAACACCTACTAGTAACATTGTAGTTTTGCACTGACACGCACCACTCACATTTTCTTCAGAAAATACATAAATCTTATTTGTTTACTACTTCTATATCCAGGCCCAGAGCCAGGTTTAGTTTAATACCATGGTTTATGGAAGATGTATGTTGTGCCCTGATCCTTTTACACTCAGGGGCTGTAACTCCATAACATTCTCCATTTCAGTTTCAGACAAAGGCTTTTTCCGCTGATATGCCTGTTTCCTCTGCTCTCCTCAAAGGGCCCATATGCCTCTGTTTTCTCTCTCTGTGTCCCCTGTTTTTTGTCTTTCTTCCTCCCATGTTTGATTTAATTCAGTACTCTTGACCATTCTAATTAATCTTCACTTACTTCGAGGACAGACACACACCTGCAACTGACCTTGAGAGCTGTGTTTTTAATTAAAATACAGCCCATTGGTTCTGTCTTGTAGAGGGCGAAGGGTTAAGCTCTTATCTGTTCTTCAACAGAACAACACTGACAGGAATCCCATAACCAAACAAAAGGTAATGATTTCACACCGCAGTCCGGACACACACACACATTCTCAAATTGGTTTTTGTGTGGAACAGAGTCTGTTTGATGTCAGACTTTGGTTCATTTGGTTTTTCGAAGCACGAAGCTGCTCAGCCAAATTTGCTTGAAAAAGTTTGTTTTAGCTCAGGTAAGGTAACTGCATCATGCCGTAAAATGAGCATTTTTTGTACACTCCCTGTCACACTTCTCATGGCTTCTTGTCTCTAAATAAATTGCCTTTGAAAGCAGCTCACATTTTTCATATCTCTTGCAATGTGTTTTCCAACAGCCCAAGGCTTCACCCGCTAGGTCATACGGTTCCTGCTGAGTATGAGTCTGCTACACAAACATCGCCTCACAAATGCCCGCCTTGAGTACAATAGGAACTAATCAAGAAATTCAGATACAGGAAGTTGAGCTTAGGAAGATGGATGATGAGGCTCTCTTGCATGTAATGATGCACATTACTCAACAGAATATTCTGTATATTCTGTACACGTGTGCAGGAGCACAGGATAGACGCTTCCCGATGATGTATGCGGGCCATTGGCTGTTCACTCACCTTGTAGCCAAAAGGGCAGGTGCAGTGGTAGGAGCCTGTGGCATCACTCACACATGTGCCGTTGTTCTGACAGGGAGCCGCCAGACAGGGGGCGCACTTGGACATCAGATTCAAATCTGCTGGACCTGAAACGCACATGACACAATATGTGAAGAATAAATGTGTGGAAGGGAAGAAAGCAAGAGAATGAGAAATCAAAGGGAATGGAGGGGACATTAAGGTCAGGATTAAAAATAAGCCGACCCTTTACTTGTGAAACTATTTATCAGTTCATGTTATTTCTAGAAAAGAAAAAGATATTTTATCAAAATGTAAACTGGTCTGACTCTTTTGTATTAGATTTGATTTTTATATTAACATTTTTTCATTTTAATTTTAGTTTAAATGTTAATATTTGTAGAAATATTTTATAATAAATATTTATATTTTGGAAATCCATTCATTCTATTCAGTTTTAGCTTTAGTTACTTTAGTTTTTTTCATTAGCTGCCAGGGCAACATAAGTTTTGGATTTAATATTTATATTTTATTTTACTTAAGTTTCATTTAACAAAATGAACAAATAACAAAAACAATTAATAATTGACAAAACTATTTAAAATAATTTTAGTTGGTGATAAAAGGGGTTACTCTTTATTGTAATGCATAATTACAAGAAACTAACGCTTAACCAAACCCTAACCGAAACTCTATAGTAAGTACATGTAGTTAATTAATATTATTTAGTACTTATATGAGTAAGTACAATGTTACTATAAGTTAGCTTAAAACAAAATGTAACAAAAAAAAATGCCCTGAAAAACTTTCATTTTTAGATCACATCTTACTTTTTAACCTTACTTTTTCCTTCACCCTACCTCCATCATAACACTTTTCATAATATAATCAATTCTGATCATATTACACCAAGTCCCATCCCAATTTTTTTTTTCTCACCAAATATCATTCTAAAATATGATTTATTACAGAGACATTGCCATTGTAAAATGCCACTTCGTGCTGACTCTGAGGCCCCGCCCACACTACTGCGTTTTTTGTTTAAAAACGGAGAATTAAAACGAATACGATCTCCGTCCACACCAGCGTTTTTTTCTGCGTATTAGAAATGATCTCCGTCCGCATTAAAACGACTGAAAACGTGGATCATGTGACCATTCACCAACCCTGGGCATGTGCGTGCCGGTGTAAACGGTGGCTGACGAATCAGGGAAGGACACGTCATGACTGATGACACCCAATCATAGAGCAAAGTGTGAGCCTCTGCGTCATCGTTTCTAAATTCTTCCGTTTAGTCCCGTCTTCACTAAAACGCCCTCCGGAGATTCAAAACGCAAAATGGAGCTGCAGCGTTATAGGTCTTCGTTTTTTTCCGTTTTCGTCTGGACGGGAGGTGCAAACGTAACAAAAGTTCTCAGTTTTTAAACGAAAACACAGTAGTGTGGACGGGGCCTGAAATACTCGACCTTACCACTCTCACACTTTCTTTTTGGAATTGTACTTTTTGGAGATTTTTTACTCATAGAAACTCAGAGAAGGGGACAGAATATTATTTAGGAAGGAGGGGGAGGGGGATTTAGATCAGGAAATGATGCAGACCAAATTCAAATTTGAATGGGCAAAAGAGAAGAAAGACGAGACAGAAATGAGACTCACCCTTGCACTGGAAGCGATTGAGGGGGGTGGTAAGCAGCAGTCGGTCCGCCATGTCAGGTGGTCCAGTGCAGCGAGCGATTCCAGGCTCTTTAAACCCAGCCTTCACCCACTGAGACAACCAGTGCAGCTCGCAGTCACAGTATAGGGGGTTCGCTCCAAGAGCCCTGCATGAGAGGAGACAAGTGTTACACTTTGTTTGAAAAGAATAGAAGTATGATTTGTTGGTCTAGTGCAAGGGTCTCCAACCCTGCAACTGGAAAGTTATCTTCCTGTAGACTGTAATGTTCAAGTAACCCTGAACACCTTGATTAGCTGGTTCAGGTGCGTTTGACTAGGGTTGGAGCCAAACTTTGGGGACAGTAGCTCTCAAGGAGCAGGGTTATGCTTGGTTCAGATTACACAATTTTTTTTGTCTGTTACGATAGTCACTGTGTCAGATTACGCGATTTTGACTCCTAAAATATTGTCGTGCCGTGGACAAGACACGTCAGACTACACGTTGCTTCCTGACCAGTCATCACATGCCGTCTTTAACGGCGCGCGCGATGTCATCGAGAAGGCGAAACTAGTAGCGAGTGACTTCCGGAAACGAACGTAAACAAACAATGGATGAAGCGGTGAGTGTTGTATTGGCGGTCCTGTGTTCAGAAAAAAGTTAAAAAATAAAGAAAACCCGAGCATGGACACGTTCCAGGATTGCTCGAAGAGGACAATATGGGCTGTCAATCCTCCAAAGAGAACTTGAGGTAAAATAGTGTTTTCTTATATATTTTTACTTTTAGTTTTAACGTTAGCACCATCGTCTCTCTTTCGTTTCGCCATTTTTGAAAGTTGTGTACGGAAAAGCTTCTGGGCTCCTAATACATGTGACGGAACCCGTCGTGGGCGACCGTTAAAAAAATTAAACATGCTAGTCTTATAGTCGTGATGTCGTGAAGCATCGCAGACGCGACGTAGGTTGTCGCCCACTATGACACTATACGAGATGATACGATCGAATCTTGCGTCCCGACGCCCGTTGTCGTTAACGAATCCCCACGACACCCTACATCAAACGGATCGTGCCAAAATCGGGCTAAAATCGTGTAATCTGAACCAGGCATTAGACAGCCCTGGTCTAGTGGTAACACTTTTAGTTTTTTTCCTTAGTGGTGCATTCAAGTCCTCCTGAGAAGTTCGTATTTATGATTTGGAACCATAGATGCATATGTTTTCCACAGGAAACTCTGAGCTCAAGGACAATTTTGAGTTCCTTATTTGTAATTATGACTTTGTTTGTGGTGGCGTTCATGTGCAGGATTGCTCTGGCATGACTTGAATGCACGATACTACACTACAGTACATAAAGCCCACATCTTCATTTACTACAGAAATCCCAATCACACTTCTTTCAGTTCAACAGGGCCTTTATTCCTCAATTGATTTTTTTTTTTATCCTGACAGTTCTTTTCAATGAGGACACAAGGAGCTACAGTATCCTCATTCTAAACCGGCAACAGGAACTACAGCCGGAGAGGAAAAAAAACAACACGGCCATAAGCTTTCATAATAGACGCCTTTTAGCGGTAATAAAATTTACAAAGATTTCCTGTGGGGATCGGTCTCCGAGCGCGGAGCACAAGGCTGCACTCTTTCTAGGTTGCATGCGGTAATGAGGTAAAACTTACATTGAGTCTAAAGACCTGAGTTGGTCTCTAAGGTTGAGACTGGGAGTCCATCAATAATAGAGGCAGGGAAAGAACGTTCTCACACTGGCACACACACACACACACACTTACAGATGAGACAGAGATGTCAAGTGGCTGAAGGCTCCCTCCGGAATAGTTGAAAGGTCATTTCCGTGGAGGGTTCTGAAAGAGAAGAATGAAAAGAAAATGAAAAAAAGCACTGAGCTCTGGGAGTTGGTTTCATTGTTTTCCGTACTATGAAAGAATGAAAGGGGGGAGATGGAGAAATAAAGAAAGGGTCAGTCATTCAAGCCATTTAGCGCAAATTATAGAAAACCTATGCCATTTTTTTTTTTTTTTTTGTGAGACACCAGTGGGAGCGGCAGCTTCGCATTGAGATTTCATTGTAGGCTGTGTCAGTTCTGTTTAATTATTTATCCTGTTCTATTACGGGGCGCTCGGCCCACACATATACACTCAGACTGCAACCTGAGAGCATGATTGGACAGCAACAGACCCATGAGGCCGTGGCCCTGCAGTGGCCCTGAGGCATTCTGGGAAATTAAAAAGTGACAATGATGACTGCCTGGCAGACTAAACATGATGAGGCCGGAATAAGGTGGGCTTCCTTTGGTCTGTTTAACATATCTGTGCACACAGGGTGTTGATAACCTATCCTGCCCAGAGACACAAAGCAACCCATGCAGTTTAATGCTGAGAGACATTTAAAGGGACACTCCATCCAAAATTGAAAATGCTGTCATCATTACTCACCCTCAAGTTGTTGCAAACCTGTATGATTTTATTTCTTCTGCTGAACACAAAGGAAGATATTTTGAAGAACAATTGGACCTTTTGACTTCCATAGTATTTTTTTTCTACTATGGAAGTCAATGGCGCCAAACAACTGTTTGGTTTCAAACCTTCTTCAAAATATCTTGCTTTGTGTTCAGCAGAAGAAAGAAACTCATACAGGTTTGCAAGAACTTGAGGGTGAATAAATGATGACAGAATTTTAATTTCTGGGTGGAGTATCCCTTTAAGGTTGTCTCTTCAACTATGGCCACAAAATGGTTTGTTTACAACTACGGTTTGTTTATTTGTCTATTAATAAACTGATTACTAAATTAGTCTTACTAATTTTATATCTAACATTTTATGTATCATAAATACACATTGTTTCACAATATGTATCACAAAATATTTTCACTTAAGACAATCTTAACAATATTACAGCTCAATAAAAAATAATTTGTTCACAATTGACATTTACCTGGATTTTTTTTTTTTTTTAATAAAGGACAGGAATAATTTGAGGGACATACGTTACCTGTCATTAATTAATTACTTCTATTAGATTAATCACAAGTGACAGTAAAGACATTTCTAATGTTACAGCAGATTTCTATTTCAAATAAATGTCATTATTTTGAGCTTTTATTTATCAAAGAATGCTGTAAAAAGTAGCATGGTGTCCACAAAAGAAAAAAATATATATATATATATATATATATATATATATATATATATCCCAAATTTTTAAATGTACTATTATTTTCACATAATAAAAATTGAAATTAATTATATTTATTTTACTCTTTTTATACTTTTAAATGATAGCAGTAATAAACATTTATAATTAATGGCATTTTTATAGTTTAAGATTAAAAGTTTGAGTATGGGATAAGGGTAATGTAGCAAAAATAAATAAATGATGAGGGTATGGTAAACATCTCCCAAGGCCATTTTAAAGTGACTTTCATATATGTATATAAAAGTTACAATCCGTTAGTTTTAATTAAAAAAAATAGTAAACCCTCGGGATTTAAAAGAGCTCTTAAAATATGCTTTCTTAAAAAATGCTTTGTTCCTTCAGAACTTGCTGATGCTGTGAACGTGTTCAAAAGCTGCTTTGTTCACTCACTAATCTCCTGACGTTAAGTTCATAAGGCAGGTTATTGGCATCTCAGAGAGGTGTTGTGGTGCATGAGGAGTGTGTGTGTGTGTGTGTGAGAGAGAGAGAGAGAGAGAGAGATTGAAGTGGCTGTGCAACAGATCGCTGGTTCATCAGGTAAAATACAAAAGGGATTCTTACAGCAAGCGGAGAGAACGCAAGCCATCGAATGAATGAACCGGGACACAGCGAATTTGATTATAGCTCAAGATCCTGCATAGAGATGGAGACAAAACTGCCATTTAATGTCAAAAATTCTGCCAAAATGTTTTAGTCAGTAGTAGCGATGTTCACATGAAGGCACTATGTCGACATAGAAACAGTTTGATTGTTGGATTATGGTGTTAACTTACAGGGTTGCGAGCTGTGTCATGTTGCTGAAGGTGAAAGGGGCAAGGAGACTAATGCTGTTATTACTGAGGTCTCTGTAGAGGAAACACACACAAACACACAGCAGATTCAATTTCACACCCTCAGAACAAAGTCTACAACATACCTTCACAACCCTGGCCAGTTTACTCTTAGAAAATACATTAGTCAGACATTTATCTTAGTTAAAATGGCTTAAAACAAGCATAAAAACGAAACTGTATCGCATCAATTTTTCGCTAAAGAACTGGTAGTTGCGGTTGCCAGATATTGATTTTGGGGAAAAAAATATAGTAAAAATGTTTTATGAAAAAAGGTATTATGGGATGGCGTGTTGGTGACTTTTTTGGTGAATTTGACATAAACCATGGCCAATGCTTATATATAGAGTCACATGCACACAAAGACAAAACACCATTGGGATAGCAAACGTGATTCTAAAATAATGCAAAAAACGTGAACTAAAAACATAAAATATAACACAAAACACCTCAATGTACATTACTGACAACAAGAGCGAGCAGAAACCTATTCATTTAAATGAAATATAATAATACTGGTTTGTGATGTTTAATGCATTTCAATTTGGTATGTGATGCATCACTTCTGGGAATGTAATTTCACTGAAAACTATACAGCAAATCTTTGCTTTCACTTGCAAAATTAATAATTTTTTTTTGGTAAATTAACTTCCAGTTAATCAATGAAGACGTTTTTACTGTAGGCAATTATGTATTTATTTTTACAATGTGAGATTTTTTACAGTGTTTTTCTACAGAGGTGCCACATTCTGTATATCCTTCAGCTTCAGGCAATATAAATGGGAATGCTTAAAACATAAATGTGCATGCCAAATGAATTCATTCAATAAAAAAAGAGGAGTAATACATACAGCAGTGTCAGTTGTTTCAGATTAGGAAGCTCTTTAGGCACGGATGTGAGAAGGTTTCCTTCCAAGTATCTGAAACGGTAAGAACAATCCTGTTAACAGACAAATTTACACTCCTCAGACAAGGTACAAAGCAAAAGCAGATTTCATTTTAAATTTCATTTCATGCTTATAAAAAGAAAAAAGGAAAACAAAAGAGAAGACATTTAGAACAACAAAGTGGCTTTAAATTCAGAGCAATTAAAGTGAGCTTCCTTGCTGTATACGGTAGGTTCCAGATCAGAGCTAAGGATCAGGCCTGAAGTGTACTAAATCTACTAAATTTGCTTCATCCTTATTTTACATGCTAAAACGTGTTAAAAGGCGGTTCTCAGCTGAGCCCGGCAGAACGTCAGATAGATGGGGCTTTGATAGGGGCTTTAGGGTCTGCTATCAAAGTCACTGATTATGGGGTCTGTCAGTGATCAGCGATACGGTCTTCAAAACTACAACACAGGAGAAGAGGTCAGTCCTTCTGGAGATTTCCTGTACAATCCTAGAACAGACTGTCCTTCTGCTGAAAAACCAACAGCCAGATTTTCCGGTTCACTCAGTAATATATCCGCTTGTTATATCAATCTAGCGTTGTGGTCAAGACCACCTAACCCAAGACCAAGACCAGAGTGTATTGAGACCGAAACAAGACCAAGACTTTTAGGAGCCGCGACCAAGACAAGACCAAGACCGAGGGAGGGCGAGACCGGGTGAAGACCAAGACCAGCGCCTCACATTACATGACACAATAGAATGGGAAATATGATCTAAAGAGATTGATCTGAAATCTTCTCAGATTGATCTGAAAGATCCACATTCCCATAAAAACAGAGATATTTAACTCTCAAAGCTGAAATAAACCATCTTTATTCAATACTCCTGGGTGACTTCCATCATTTAGTACAGAATCTAAAACAAGTGTTCACTTTTCTCCGCCTTTTATTAACAATACATGAACACATGGGTGACAGGCAGCGGTAACAAAAATACACAATTAGCAATGACCAATGAGTCATGATATTGCTTGGATTTGAATCAGAACGTTTTACATACAATAAAAGCAAGGATGTTGACAAAAAATTAGTCAATATACTGGCAAATTAGTTATATTTTCACAGTTATGGTCTTGTCCATAGCTGTCAACATTGAACATTGAAAATAAGTGAGATTTCCCGGAATCCATCCACAAAATAAGGGATTTATTTGTCTTTTACACGATTCTTACCCACAAACTTTAAAAATAAAGAACCAATCAAAGTCGAGAGAGTTTATAACTAGACTACATATGTGTGTGAGATATATATATATATATATATATATATATATATATATATATATATATATATATATCTCATAGAGAATGTTTAAATATTCTAATATCAGCTTATGAGGGAAACCGTACAGGCTTTGGGGAAATGGAGGGGGAGTTAGTGGTGCTTCGGAGGCCGAGTGCAGGAGATGATCGGGAGAGGTCTGTGCACCTTTACCGATCAGAGCGCGCGTTGCAAAAATGACACGTTGGGTGTACAAGACCGGCAAGACCTCATTTCGCATGGTCGTGTACAGCTTTTTTTGTGACAGCGTGCGGCGCCACGTCCAAGGATGAACAACTTCAAACCAAATCTGTCAGATCAGAGCGTAAAAATACAGGATATTTTACGGAAAATAATAAAACTTGAATACAGCGGGAAAAGAGCTAAGATACGTGAGAAACCCGGAAAAAAAATGGTAGGGATGACCGCTATGGTCTTGAAAAAATCCGACACCGAGACAAGACCGAGACCAAAAGCGGTCGAGTCCGAGAAGAGACCGAGACCATAAAAAAGCGGGCTCGAGACCGTAGGCTACTACAACACTATATCAGTCTCTCTTTGTCGTTTGTTTGATATCTTGTGATTTCTTTGTCGTCTTTGTCGCCGTCGACTTGTTCTATTGCTTCCCCGTCTCCCCAGTGTCACTTCTCGTCGAGTGTGTCAGCAGTTCTATGAAGGCGCTGTACTCTCTCTTCATCTGTCTGGTCCATTAGATTATGACGGACACCTTTACACTGTGCATCACACTCACTGACCCTCATACAGTCTGAGCTGGATCATGGCCAGCGAGAGACACATCATGGGCTTTTTTACAGTATTCTTAAAAAATTCAAAGATTTACATGTACACTCTTGAGTAATGAAGGTCAATACTGCCACTGCCAAAGTTGTCAATAAATCTAACGACAGCTTGAAACCCTGGGTTTGGGTGATGTAGTGTATAAAGCCATGAGATATTACCACTGTGTCCTTGACACATCTCTTCCAAGACAGATTACCCTTGTAATACATTTCCTCACAACTTAAAAGTTCACTTGTTTGCTATTTTTTGGATTCTGTAAAAGAAAGATAGCCCAGTCTGCAGGAACTGCCAATCAACAGTAAGTTCTTTTTGTGCACTTTTGTACAGTTAAACATACAAACTTTCTCTCCTCCTTCCTACATTCGTATTTTGAGTGTGCATCGCTTAAATTAAATTTAAGATGAATTTGACTGATAGTATTGTTTATTTATATATTTTTAATGTATAATGAGCTGCTTACACGACACTGTTTTTAACTAAAAATGGAAAACTTTCTATGCTTTTTTGGCTATTCGTTAATACGAAAACCGAGTTTTGGGGGCCTGAATACGCAAACTTTTGAAAAAAGGTTTCAAAGTGAAAGCTTTTTTTAAGAACGGTTCTGTTAAATATCTCTGTGTAAACTACAAAAACAAGTGAGTTTTACAAAAACGCCAATTTGTGAAAACAGTAACGTCATGCGTATGCTTACTACATGCTCAGCCCATAGGTGTGCAGTGTTTCTTTACAAAGTGACATCGCCAACTACTTGCCTGGCATGAATAATACAACGTTTTTAGTCGTTTTCGCAGATCCGTGTGAACTGGTGCTATTTTGCAACCCGATCTCACGGGAATTCGTACGAATTTTACGAGGTGGCTAATTCGTAACAATTCATACGACCTCACTCGTACAAATTAGTACGATTTTGCTAAATCGTACATATTTTTCGAATTGGCTAATTCGTATGAATTCGTACGAATAACCTACCCCTGACCCCGCCCCTAAACCTAGCCATCACGTGGTTTTAGACAAATCGTATGAATTCGTACGAGTGAGGTCGTACGAATTACCCACTTTTTAATCACTCGTACGAATTCGTACGGATTGGTCGTGAGATAGGGTAGTATTTTGCAGTTCCAGAAAACAATTCTGCCAATGACCAGAAAAAAAAAAACCTAGTCTAAAGTCAGTGGCGCATTGCGCATAAATTCAGATGCTATTTTAAACGTGCATAATACAGAGTGTGAACAACGTGCATACAATGTAGATGATTCTCTCATCTACACAGATGCATTTTACTTTTTGCAAATGTTACAATATTATAAGGAAAAATATCTAAACACAAGGGAAATCATTGTTGTGACCACGACGATGGGAAAAATAGGACACATTTACCCAAATTGTTATATGCATGTTTCACCAAAGCTAATTAGGGTGTCTTTGTCCCATCCCCAGTGTACCTTCTCTTTCTTTCACGGCCCTGACTAGAACATCGAATTCCTCGGCTGTGAAATGATTGTGAAGCGCGCCTGGTAAATGCGCCGTTATAATAGAATTACGCCATTGAAAAAGCGCACCTCGTTCATTACGCTCTTATTGGTTTGTTTCCAGTTACGCCCCAAACCACACCTATGAATAATGAAGCTACTTCAGACCAACCCCTTTTTAAACTTGCGTCGGGCGCAAGAGTCATTTATCCCGCCGGTAAAATAGCAACAGCTCCCAAGACCCGCCCACAAAGTTACTTGCGCTTCACGTTCGATACTTGCGTTTCAGATTAAGGACTGTTTTATGGTAGGGTGAAAATTGACTCCACACTTTTAACAGCCTAAGTTTTCTAGTTTTATTTTGTTTTCAGGTTTCATGCTGTAAATACACTTTATTTATTCACTTTATTACTGTTGTGCATCTCCTCTTTTTAAACATTCCCAACCTCACACATTTTAATCTGACCCCAATTTGAACTCTTGTAACTCAACCTATTTTAATGAACTAAACTGACCTATTAGAAAAAGAAAACTGGATGTGATGTGAACTTTGTGGAAACAAAATCCACCAGTGATTTTCTGAATGTCCTAAAGTGATTAAGGTCAAAATAAAGGGAGTTAGAATAAGAGACTCACAGTTCAGTTGTATCTTTAGGGATGCCCTTAGGCAGGGAACGCAGCCCTCGGTTACTACAGCGCACTACTGTGTCCGAGCATGTGCAGGAATCCGGACAGCGAGGGGCCGACGGCAGACAGACATTCTCTTCTATACCTGAGAGAGAAAGACATGCATATTTTATGCTCCTTTACATCATGCAAGAGAAAAAATGTAATATGCGTTGCTAAAAGACCTAATATAGAAACTCATCAATTCTTTAAAAGGGAGTAATGGAGGACTGAGAAAGAGGCAGAATAGATGAAACGGCGCAGGTGCTGTGTGCACCAAACTGCATTGCACCCTCCCTTCCTCCAGTGTGTTCTCCAAACATGGGTATCATTATTACAGAGCACGCTCGCTCATAATAAGTGATACAGTGCACAGGAGTTTAAAATCAGCAGCTAAATATTGCTTTTGGCCTCCCTTGCTCCACATTTCCTGCGAGCAATACTGCTTTCATCCAAGCTCCGTAAGATGCTATCTGTAAAATGCTGAATTACCCTGCAGATTACAAAGAAACAGTGAATTAAGCCATTAATGGGGGGTTATGGAGACTGAGATATGCTCCAAGAATAACTCACAGACCGAGTCTGGAAAGGGGAACGCTGGACCTGGACGTGCCTGCAAACGAAGAAAGGCCAAGGGGGCTTGTTTTACAATGATTGAACTACTTCAAACAACCAAAAATATCTTCCCGTAAATCAATTTAGCTTGACTTTGTTACTCTAACTGTAATTGCAGAGCACAGAAATAGCTAGATGTTGTGCTGGTGAGTTTTTTTGGAGCTGAAGTGACGGCGCCCCGCACAAGGAGGAAGAAATGAGCGGAATAACAACACATGAGCCCTGACAGACAGCCTCTTCTAACTAATGGACCTCGAGCCGGGGCGATTTCTCTCACTTTGAACCTCTTTATTTCAAAGTGCTTCGGCGTCTACAGCTGAGCAGGCTCTCTTAACACGATATTCCCAGAAGTCCTGGAGCAGCAAAAGAGCTGTTTCTACCCAGAACACCCTAGCTTTGACAGGGAGGCCTTCTGTAACACAGGACCCAATCCACACAGAAGCCAAACCGCAGTTTCTTTTTCTCCATTAAACTTTATGTCAGTCTCGAGAGGTTCTGTTTCCCCCCGTCTTTATGGACACGAGTTCTTCCCTATAAAAACCAGAGTGGGAGAAGATAATGTTTAGGCCTCCACGCTCAGCATTTAATTTGTCCTCGTGGTGCCCTCTCGGTGAGGCCTTGTGGGAAGTTGGCCGGGTGTGATTTACCCTGACGCTGGGAAGCGGGGAGAGGGGGATGAAGGTGTGGGAAATCTGAGGAGATGGAGCGTAGAGCAAGCCTCGGTCTGGAATGGTGTCTGGAAGGAGCTGATTCAGTGGCCTGATCTAAGCAGTGTGATTTCATGGGAACTGGAGATGGATGTGGTGTGGATGGCAAAGGCTACAGCCTAAATAGTAGCTGAGGTTTGCAAACCCTTATTCAACGTCCTGACAATGTGCTTCTGGTTCACGAGGAACTGCTTAAAGGGGGTATTTAACCTCTAAACAGCGAAGTGTAGAAACAGAGGCGTTGAAGAGTATAAAAGAGAATCAACACTGTATAGGTGGAGACATGGTACATTTGTATGTATATAAAAAGAAAAATCTGATTGCATATACCATGTTCAATGTAGAAAAAAAGGTGACACACCTCTTTCAGAGGGAAATTTACTGTAGCCTATACTGCCCTACAAAGCAAAAAGGCAGTAACTACGCAGAGTGCAGAACTGACAAAAATGACTTTTACTAGGGCTTTTTGCAGTTACTGTACAAACGACTACCATTTTTCTCTAAAACGACACGCATTTAAGATAAGATGTTTTGTCACATAACAAAGGATGCCTTGAATGTCATGAAAATTGTAATAATTAATGCTTTACCAAAACTGCAGTTACTGCCTTTTTGCTTTGTAGGGCAGTATATACATATGGAGTTTATTACCCTGTAACTTTGGGTTTTATTGCACATAAGTCTATCTATGTCTTTAAGTCTGTATATGTCCAATAAAATCCAAAGTTACAAGGTGATACATATGTAAAGATACCAATAATAAACATTTATGATGACAATTATATCATGAACATAATATAATAACTCGCCATTTTTTTTACCCTGTTTACAGTGATTACACAACAGTTAAAGGAGTTAGGCTATCCATGCTCCTTTACCATAGTAAAAACCAGCGCAGTCTCATCCAAAGACGTCATACAACTGACGCTTTTGACCATACATCAACATCCGCCGTTTTAGGGTACCCTTAAAAGTCTAAAGTCTAACCCTACCCCAGACCTAAACCTACCCCGTCATCTAACTGACGTTAAAGGTAAAGCGTCAGTTGGATGACGCCCCAGGATCATCATCTAACTGACGTTAAAGGGTACCCTAAAATGGCGGATGGTCAAAAGCGTCTGTTGTACGACGTCTTGGGATGAGACTGTGTTATAAAAACACTGTGATGCACAACTTGTTGTGGTTTATTACACTCGACAATTGTGTTATCATTCACCCAAACCTGAAGTAAGTTGTTCAATCCGTGTACGAGTTTCCTTCTTCTATTGAACGCAAAAGAAGATGTTTTAATTTAAAGAACGTTGGTAAGCAGTCAGTTGATGGAGTCAATGGGACCTTGAGTCTGTTTGGTTACTAATATTCTTCAAAATATCTTCTTTAGGGTTATATAGAAGAAAGAAACTCATACAACAACTTGAGGAACAATTCGTAAATGATGACAGAATTAAAATTTTTGGGTGAACTATCCCTTTAACTGAGTTACTGATCCACCAACAGAGCAAGCAGGACATATTGTAAAAGATGAAGATGCTCAAAAGAGAGTTGTACCGTCACAGGAGAAATCAGGCATGGCCACATCCTGTATAGGGATCTCCTTTAGGAAGGCAGGTTTATGGCAGCGTGGATTGCCACTAACCACCCTGGTCTTCTTAAGCCACAGTCCCAGCCAGGCTAAGTGACAGTCACACACGTAGGGATTAGACAGCAGGTTACTGTACACAAACAGAAAGAGGAAGAAAAAAAACCCTCATTACTTTATAATTACAATGGAAAGCAATCAGCAGGGTTAAATTACCACATAAACAATCAAACTTCAGCCCATTTAACACAGCGGGAGAACCGCATGGGTGAATTTGCATTTAAATAGCAATGCAATTGCATATTATGACTTCGATGTGACCTGAAATGCTGGCAATGTTCAATAGCAACTTTTGCTTTAGGTCAAATTTTATTACGCTGCTATAACACTGTTATAACAGCCACTAAAAACAAAGTGTTTAAAAAAAAAAAAAACTAAAATGAAGACTCACATATACGACGCTTTTGCCAAAGCGTAGACATCCAACGCACATGGCACCCTTTAGCGTCAAATGAGATGCAGATATATATATGGAGCAGAAGGCGCCTCCTAGTGGTCTAACCATACCCCATACCTAAACCTACCATAACCGAAGCGTCTCATTAGACGCTAAAGGGTGCCATGTGCGTTGGATGTCTACGCTTTGGCAAAAGAGTTGTAAATGACGCCTTGGATTGGAATGCGTTGGAATAAGACACAGACACATTTTTGGGTACAGATCTATCAACCAATGGGTATTAGGACCACTGGATCAGAGGCTTCAGAATCAACATATTGACTCATTTTTCATGAGTCCCTACGGAGTTCTGAAAGTTCAGGTGGTGGCAACGCAGACCAAAATCATAAAACTGTAGCCTTGAGTTGAAAGCATCACCAGAAATGACTCAGGAAAGCGCACCAGGGAACTGGTTGACGGCACATACAGATGGCCGTCTAACTGATGCATTGCTGAAACACACAGGTAGGAGCAGCAGTGCTAGTACAGGCACAGAGGAACTCTTTAATGCAGTAGCTCAGAGTATCTGCAACACTACAGCCGGCGGGATAAATGAATCGAGTGTGCTGACCTTCCGTTGCTTTGCCAATAGATGCTTTGCAGCTTAAATGTTAACACTACCCTATATCCCTCACCAGCAATGTGTTTGCCTTTAATTATTCCTATCACTTTCTGTACATGGAGGTAGGGTAAAGAAACGCAAGACAGGTTGAGAGAGAGAAAAGCGAGGCAGAGGTTTGCTTTGACACTCGAGACTACTTATCCTGCTAAATTTAATAAATTGGACATTGCTAACAAAACACATCTATTTATACTGTGATAATCACAAATGTGAGCACACAAAAGTAACCTCTGTCCTGACTGCTTGCTTTAGCCCTGCAAACTCTCCTACCGGAAACACTCGCCCGCTCTGCTCTAATTTTGGCAGAGGTGGAGGGATGAATGATGGAGTGAGAGAGAAAAGGAGGGAGTGTGCCCAACACTGCTGCACTACTGTGGGAAGAGAATAGCTGGGGAGGCCTCTCTCTCTCTCTCTCTCTCTCTCTGGATATTTTTAGCTGCCCTGTGCTGAAATGGACATGGCCGTGTCAGCCGCTGACTAATTAGAGAGCTGGCAAAGCAAAGAGAGAACGAAAAATAAAGATTCTAAAAGAAATAGCACAACCGATTGATTGGAAAAGTCGCCTAATGGCATAAGACGTGAGGAAGAGTTGAATGTGTGAACATGTAGGTTTTTGGTAACAATAGTTAAAGCCTTTATGTATAATGTATTATATATGGTGGTGGTTTATATTCCAAAATATAAACACACACACACAAAAGCAAAACAGAAACAAACAAACAGTAGTGATAGTGGTAAGCTACAAAAAGCACTTGTATGGTTTAAGAATTTAAAGTTGTTTATGGCCTTGACAAAATAAAAGATGCACATTTAAACATATAGGATGACTTCATTGTGTAAATTCTTTCTGTTGTTTGCACAGGCTAAACTGGATTAGATGGTCAGAATGAAAGGAATGACTCTAATGCAAATCAGAACAGTCTGAGTGTCTCTGCTCAGAATCTGTTCACATATTTCAGTTAGTAGACAGGGTTCACAGAATGAAAAAGACAACCATGTGTATTTTGTTGCACATTGTAACGTGTGCCAAGAATAAAGCCTGATATGATAATTCAAATGGTTACAGATGCTTGCTGTGTTGGCAGTCATCATTTCTTTTTTTTTCTTTCTTTTTTCTCAATTATGATTCCAGCAGAAGTTATTTTGAATGCGTAACAGCATCTGTTTATCTATGAACATCTGTGAGATATCTTTCAGTTTTTCCCGTTGATCGTTCTCTTTCTTGTCAACCCCTCAGGGCTGTGACACACTAGAGTTCACTTTTTGTTTATCAGTTCTTTGTTTACATCCCCTGCAAAAAGCTACACAGATATTAATCTGTATTAAAAAATTTACCGCACTTGATTTTCCCCAGCTGTTCTCTCTCTCTCTCTCTCTCTTTTTTTTTACAGCATACAATCAAAAGCAAAAATGAGATGACAGAAGAATTAATTCCTTACATTTGCCTTTGTATGGACAACCTCATTGCACAAATTCTTAGTCCCTTTTTAGACAGCGAAGCAATTTTCCTTTTTAGACATTTTTGAATAATTCCCCCTGCCCCGGGGCAAGCCAAAATGTTCTCATCTGAGGTTCAAGAACAACCGTTTTCAACCCAGACAAGAAAACATAACCTCATAATTTTGAAAATACATCTGCAAACAATAAGAATTCTTAGCTTGAACCACATCCTCATCCGCTTTGCATATGAAGATATAATAGGCACTTGATTGGTGGTGGTGCGTGACCCGACCGACTCTGTTTGATTTCCAGAGTCTTTGTGAAATTTTCAACTAACTCATTTGTGGGTTTGGTACAGACACAGCAAATTCAGTGAATATTTTGATCAGGCAGTAGAGATAGTTTCGCTTCAGATATCAAATTCTTTGGTATTATTATTATTATTTTTATTTTTTAAATGTAGCACTAAAGAATTCAGTTGATCATGCATAACTGATAGAATGAACCCATGACGCAGAGGGGAGTGTGTGTGTGAGAGAGAGAGAGAGAGAGAGAGGGTGGAGGACTTACATGGTGGAGAGGGAATGCAGGGTGTTGAAAGCTCCAGGGGCGATGGTGGAGATCCGGTTATCGTACAGGGAAAGCAGACGCACGGAGCTCAGGCCAGTGAAGGTGGCGTTATCCACACAGCTGATCTGATTATTCCTCAGCGTCCTGATGGGAACACAGAGGCAGCTTGGATCACATTGACCCTGACAGACTAGACAGCAGCACACAGCTCACAGGGAGGGAGGGCCATAGTGTTTATGAGACTCTGTGGCTGCTGTAATGCATTAAGTCAATGGTGGTTTTATGGTATCATTGCTGACATTTTTCGAGATGATGTGCCATGCATGCAGTGGTTAGGAACACATACACCCCAGTATAAAGGAGGAAAGTAGCTGAGACAGGAATCTAAAGTGAGTCTGCATGATGGATTGGCAGTGATTTTTTTATTGTGAGATTACGAGAAGGAAATCTGATGGGGTTTCAGCAGACTGCACTATACTGTGTATCAGAGCATTCAAGTGAAACATTGCTTAACTCACAATGAACTGCAAATTGCATTGTGTGTGATTGTGTCAAGGTTTGTCTATATTGTGTTGGACATTTTGTGAGAAACAACAGTAATGAGCTATTCATTTGTAGCCTTTATTTAAAGTCTGTCACATTCAGTATATTGTAAACATTTTAAAAGCTACATTATGATGATCATTATATATTATCGTAAAATATAGTTGTTGTTTTGTTTTTTGTTTTTACACCAGAGCACCCTAAATAGGCTACATCATTACATTACATTACATTACGTTATTACACGGCTCTGTGGAATACTTGATTCTGATTGGTCAATCGCGCCATCCAGCGGGATGTTATTCTCCGGTAACAACTGATAACACAGGCTTATCCGGGTTACTGAAGTCAGCACTATATTCTTGCTAGGAGTGGGTTTTCTTTGTGGAAATGTTTGCGTTAAGTGATAAAATTTTAAAACTCAAATCAATATTTCGTGTTCACTCATTTAATTATGTCTTCCAGGTATCGCGGACTCACGCTCTCTTGTTTCATACAAACACAGCCGCTACAATTTGGGGCAGTTGTTTTGTACACTGTGATGGATTATAAGATAATAAACAGATTTTAAAACAGTTTCAACTTAAATCAACATCTCTAATCCCCATAATTACTTATGTGGCGAATTGCTGTGTAGTAAATGGTATGACTGTACTGCATACCTTAAAAGGTTGATTGCGATTTCACGTTTTTCATTTTAAATAGTGTGTAATGTTGCTGTTGGTACATGAATAGTATCTACAAAGTTGCAGCGCTGAAAGTTCAATGTAAGCAGAGATATCGTCTTTTAAAAATCAGGAAGTATAAATGCCTACAAAAACGACTCGATTGGGACTGCAACGGGTTTTAGACGTCACTAACCCACACATTTGCATCAACCCTTCCCCCGGAAAATGCAAAAAAGGGCATGCGTATATTTCTGCGGCTCGTCGAGTGTGTTGTTCACCCAGCTGTCAGGTCTTGTGTTCGAGCTTCCCACGGACGTTGTAGTTCGTCAACAATGGATACAATTTATGTTTGATTATGTTCCTGAAAATGGCGATTGTAATCTAGCTCTCTGTGCTGCGTGTTTTACGGAAGACAGCTTCCAGAATCTCCACAAATTCAATGCCGGATTCAACAAGAAACTGTTACTAAAACATGAAGCAGTTCCGACTTTAAAACCAGAGGCAGCAGTTGTTGGGCCACAACCTGTAAGTAGGCTAAGACTTAATCTTTTTAAATGTATTTACATGTATAATTTCAGACGTAATGTTTTAGTTTTATTAAATGCCAGCGCTAGCTTTATAGCCACTAGGCTACTAGTTGTGCTATTTTGTGTCTACGACAAACGTGTACAAACATTATGGACCTGAATTTTGTATATGTACAAATGTTGTAAATGTATTTCTTTTGTATTATATATACATATATATATATATATATATATATATATATGGTGTTATTTTACGATTTGATCAAGAACGTAAACCAGTGCCGACGCTATTTGTGTGTACGTATATAGTAGCCAGTTATTTCGATGCTATTTTGTGTAAGACAAGCATTTAAGTAAAAAAATATATCTAGACAAATTACCATTCAGAAACGTTTAGTAAGAGCCGTGTGTGGTGAGGTTCTGCTTGCCTTTCTTGCCGCCGCTTTCTGGGTCTGATTCTGGCTCATACTGATACTGCAGTGTCGACACCATTATTTACATTTGACAGGAACAACACATGCAACTTTCGCCCGTAAAGGTAATGGGTGTGAATTTTCCGGACAATGTGCACTACAGTTTAGCCACACAACACACCAGCCCAAACTAACCAATCTGAGCCCACTGCCTGTTTCTGAGGGAGTGGTTTCATAGAATCAGGAAGTCAACCGGTCGTTCAAATGACAGAGGAGAGCACGGCTGACAATAAAGGTGACATTTATGAAAAATAAGACTTTTTAAAAAAGAAAAAACACAATTACATGTTATATTGCACCCCATAAACACAATCATGCAAAGAAAAAAAAAGCAGTCAACCCCCCCTTTAATGTCCGTCTAGTTTGAACTTGCCGCTAGCTAGCAACTGCTCTCTCAGCGGAAGCTTTGCGTTTAAAGAGTTCATAAAATATTTCAATTTTTCAATATTTAGTGTCTAACTATTTACTTATGTGGCAAGAAACCATGTAATAAGAAGGATAACATCCAGCCGGTTCTTATTATATTATATTATATTATATTATATTATATTATATTATATTATATTATATTATATTATATTATATTATATTATATTATATTATATTATATTATATTATGTTATATTATATTATATTAGCCTATATTATATTATATTATATTATATTATATTATATTATTTTTTGTGTTTTCTTTTAGGAAGAACTCACTTATCACATTGATTTTTGTTTAGACTTGAACAAAAAAATATCATAATTTCATAATCCAGCTAGCCCAGGGTCTAATAAACCCATGTACTGGACCTGGTGTTTCTAATCTAACTATCATAGAATCTAAACATGTTTTTTTTCTTTTTATTTACAATTTGTATTGTTCTGAACATGCAAAGAAGAAAAAGGTTTGTTTTAGGTGTAGAGTTTGAGTTAGTGTGTGCTAATCATAATCAGCTTTATTTAGACAGCATAATTCTCTGGTTTTATTCTCAGGCTTTCTGAGACAAGAAAAAGCGTCTGTGTGTGACGCGATGATCTTGGAGTGCGGCCTGTGCTGTAACCATGTGCGTGTGCTCTCTGAGATTCTGTCTGTGCAGCAGACGTGGCCAGCTGAGGCAGCTCACTGCTTGACACGAGATAAGATGAGTTTGTGCGTGTGTGGTTTGGGAGGGGTGAGGAGCCCAAAACAATCAGGGTCTCCTAAAGGCCTTCAGCAGCACAAACAAGCTAAATGCAAACCAGAGTCTGCCGTGATGAAAACCTGAAAGCAGCAAATTCGGCATTAAACTCTGACAAACAGGCATCTGAGATGAGCAAACTCAATTTGGACACATACTCTTGGGATTTGAAAGCCACTAAATCCAATATTGCAGGACCATGATTCCATTCATTTGCTCCTGTGCACTCCTCTCTCTCCAATTAAGCTAATTAGAGCGACAGCAGACCTACGGTAGGCTTTTTCTAACCACCAGGCTTCAGAATGTGCATAGCATTAGCATCTTTGTTCCCGATAGCACACCAGCATAGATGACGTCTGTGCCCGTTAGTTTCTTAGAATAACTTCATACGGTTAACATCTTGATTCGACCTGACGATCACAGTTTGGATTTTGCTGAGAGTGGGCAATTTTTATAGATTTTTTTTTCTTAATACACCGATAAGAGCAATTCCTTAGAGCAGATTTCCAATGCCGTAACTGATCTTTGCGCATTTATATTCAGAGTTGAATATATGAATGTGAACGTGGCTCGGAGATGTCTTAATTTTAATGGCTTTTGAAAAATGAGCTTCAAGGATCTTTTAAAAAATAAATAAATAAAAAAAAACTTTTGCTGTTAATTTACTCACCCCCATGTCATCCAAGATATCCAATGTCAAGGTTTTTGATGAAAACATTCCAGGATTTTACTAATGGACTTCAATGGGAACCAAACGGTTCAAGGTCCAAAAGACACTTTCAGTACAAACTGCAAACTGTTCAAAGGGCTTTAAACGATTCCAGACGATGAATAAGGGTCTTATCAAGCGAAACGATCGCTAATCGCTCAAAAAAAAAAAAAAAATTAGTTTTATAAGCTCAAATGGTCGCCTTGCTCTGTTCTGTGACGCACGTTTGTGACTCTCCTGTTCGAACTCATTCATCAAAATGAACGAATCTTTTCCAGTCAACTCTACATTTCGTTCGTTGAATGAACCAAATGACACGAAAAAAGATTTGTTCATCTTGGATGACATGTGGGTGAGTAAATTATCAGCAAAAGTGAACAACTCCTTTAATCGTGAAACGGGGGTGTGGTACTCACAGTGTTTTGAGGCCGCTCAAACCCTTGAACATCCTTCCACTGACTGACTGCAGCTTGTTTCCGGTCAACAGCAACTCCGAAACACCTCCGGCCCCATCAAACGCCCCCTCACGGATGTCCCGGAGTTTATTATTACTCAAGTTTCTGCAAACACGAAATTCAAGAAAAACATCAACTCCCCATGTCGCACTTCTTTTAAAGGGGGTCGTTCACCCAAAAACGAATCTGTCATTATTTACTCACCCTCATGTTGTTCCAAACCTGCATGAGTTTATTTCTTGTTTATCACAAAAGAAGATATTTTGAAGAATATTGGTAACCAGACAGTTGACGGTAGCCATTGACTTGTATATATTTTTTCCTACAATGGAAGTCAATGGCTACCATCAACTGTCTGGTTACCAATATTCTTCAAAATATCTTCTTTTGTGCTAAACAGGTTTGGAACGACATTAGGGTGAGTAAATGATGGCAGAGTTTTCAGTTTTGGGTGAACTATCCCATTAATGTGTGCCGAATGCACTATTTGTTATTTTGACAAATGGCAGAAAGCACAAGTTGCAATGGTACATTGCAAATTTCTTTGTTTAATCGTATACACAGGTTGTGGTTGCATCCTAAACACACGTTGATGATGATTCACAGCTTAATTTTAAACCATGCTACAGCAAAATGTAAGGTCAGTCTTTTAGATCTGGCCAATTTATAACTGTGCTAGATAGTAAGCAATTTCATGCATGATAAATCACCGATCCTCTTCCTGAGCGAATACCGCTTTTTCCAATTTTGGAGTGAGCTGCAAATATTGTCTGACAGTAAATCACTGCATGCTTTTGCACACTAGTAGGTTGGAAGAAGCTTTTCTTGTCCTATTGTCCATAGCATTCACTGCATACAGTACAAAGCTGAATTTCCCAAATACCCCGATCTCATTCAGCAGCCAAACCCTTTCAATGAAAAGAATAAATAAACCAGTCCGTACATCTTGCGCAGGTTTGGCAGCTTCTTGAAGGCTCCTGTCGCCTCTAAGATGGTGATTTCATTGTCGTTCAGCCGTCTGGAGTCGAGAGAGATTGAGAGACAGGGGTTAATAGTTCAACAGTCCTCACAAGGTATAATAATAAGACAAAGTCTCACAGCAAAAAGCACAAGTAAACCCCACTGGAGTATGTAGGAGTGAGATGGAGACAAAAGAGCTGAAAGTGATTATCATTCAGACGATGTCTCTGTTTCAGTCTTCAGGTCTCTTATGTGGGAGACGCTGTATAATCAGGACTGTGATGTCAACGTAATGAAAAATCAGTATCGCTTTCTCTGGTGTGAGTACTGGATATGTGACTCTCATACACAATCTTCTGCCCCTCATCACCGGTGATATCAATATGAAGGGCGTACTCAGACACTTTTGCAAATAACAACAGTGCACGTGGAAGACGGGCTAATGTGCTATGCAGATACATGAAGACAGGAAAAGAGGATGACAGAAACAGATGCTGTATTTTGGAATGGCGTTCTACTTTTTATCAGGGGTTTTAAACTGTGGCTGCAAGGAAAAAATAAAATTAAATAATTCCAGCAATTTCAATTTTATTTAGGGCTGTTAAGCGATTAATCGTGATTAATCGCATCCAAAATAAAATTATATATATTTATATATAATTTATATTGTATAATTATCAATAGTTTATATATAAATAATATTTTTTTCTTAAATATTCATGCAATATTTCATCAAATATTTCTGCTTGTTTCATCTCTATTAAAGGAGTAGTTCACTTTTCAAAAAACTTTTGCTGATAATTTACTCACCCCCATGTCATCCAAGATGTCCATGTCTTTCTTTCTTCAGTAAAAAAGAAATTAAGGTTTTTGATGAAAACATTCCAGGATTTTCTCCATATAATGGACTTGTATAAAAATGAGAGTTTCAGTGCAGCTTCAAAGGACTTTAAACGACACCAGACGATGAATAAGGGTCTTATCTAGGACCCATGACTCGAAAAAAGATTTGTTCATTTTGATGAACGAGTTCGAACAGGAGAGACACGAACGCTCATCACAGAACAGAGCAAGGTGAGCATTTGTGCTTATAAAACTTAAACTTTTTAATTTATTTTTGAAATGACCGATCGTTTCGCTTGATAAGACGCTTATTCATCGTCTGGTGTCATTTAAAGCCCTTTGAAGCTGCACTGAAACTCTCATTTGGACCTTGAACCGTTTGGTCTCATTGAAGTCCATTATATGGAGAAAATCCTGGAATGTTTTCATCAAAAACCTTCATTTCTTTTCGACTGAAGAAAGAAAGACATGGACATCTTGGATGACATGGGGGTGAGTAAATTATCAGCAAGTTTTTTTTTTTTTAAAAAGTTAACTTTGTTTACAATAAAACTAAGTTGCATGTACAAAATACCACAGTATTGTACAATTACAATAGCATATATAACATACAATATACAGCAACTTCATAAATTAAATAACAAAGGCATTCTTAATTCATCAAATAGTAACTGTAGAGTTTAAAATGAATTGTATGTAGCAAAGATAAATCGAAATGATGCCGAGACGAAGCTTCATAAATACAACTTCCCAGCTTATAAATACAAACTTCTCAGGAGTGCACCAAATGTAGAGTATAACCAGAAAATGATATATACTGCACAGCATGCATTTAGCAGTATGCTAGATTTCCATTCCAAACCCAGGTGCAAAGAAGGTCTAGAACAGGTCGGGAGAGACTTTCCAAACATTATTAAGAGTAAAGTCTAGAAAATGCACCATTGCTGTCTTTTTGCTTCCCCCAGGGTTGGTTTTCCTAGCGGGGCCTGCCATGGGAAAGCACGTCAGACATAAAGTGCTGGTTCCTGGTTGCAAGCATTCCCGCAAGAGCTCTATAAATAAGCAGCTGTGCTAGCGGGTGCAAGCTGTAGTCACTGAGCCGCAGAAAGACGGAGAGAGTGTGACAGATGACTCAAGTTGATGGGACTGCAGAGGGAAAACCCTGATGTGTCCTCTACACATGAGCACAAGGACAAACGCATTGTCACCCTGACTAGCTCTTCCCAGGGAAAACGCAGCTGAGTGGTTAATGGCCTGGGAAAGGCCTTGGACATTCATTCACCACAACTCAGCTGGGGACAAGACCCCGTAATCAGAGGACAAGAGAGAAGGATGAGACCTCTGGGACGGAGGGACACCGAAAGAATTAGCGAGGTGGGATTGTAAAAGACGAATGTTTTCGAGAATGATTGATGGGGTCGCTAGGTGTGTTTGTAAGCTGAAATGCGTGTCTCTTACAGGTCAGTGGTGTGCTCGGGCAGGTGAGGGGGTATTTTGGTGAGTTTGAGGTTCGAGCAGTCCACCACCGTTCCTTCACACCGACAACGCTCGGGACAAACCAGGTCCTGGAAACACTCGCCGCTGAGACGACTGCGGTAGTCCTCACCACCTAACAAACACAGAAAACACAAACAGAGAAAGAAGGACTTTCAAACCGCTAATTCAATTCATCACACAAACAGGTAAATCTCAAATCACATGTCCAGATCACCTAAAAATAAAAAAAAAGAAGTGCATCAAATTTACATTATTTTTCATAAATGTACAAGTCATGGTGGTGGAAAAAAATATGATTTGATTAACATTTTGCATTCCCCCAAGAAAACGTAAAGATTGTCTGGGAAACGCAAATGCATTGATAATAATTTTACAAATATTTTCCCCCTCCATCTCAACATATTTTATTTTTTCCTTGACCATGTGGCTTTAGGCCGGGGCTCTGTACCCCCCACATTCACATGTTGTAATGTAAAAACAAAATAGTACAAAAATAAATGGTACAAAATATTTATACATTATGGTTTTTGTTGTACTGACTTTATACTGATTTTTATTGTAATACAGTTCAAATTTCAAATAATAGGAATCTCAAATAAAACATCTGAAATGTATTACAGTAATGTGAAATTAGAGAACATTATTATTAGTCTTAAAAATGACTGTAATCTTAAAAATATGCAAGATATATGAATACATTTTTGCATAGTTTCAAATTTGTACATATCAGGCATATATTTATATAAAAAAGAATTGTAAAACAGTTTAAATAATTGGAATGAAGACAAGAATCTCAAAGTGAAATATCTGAAATATCTCTATACCTTTATAAAAATATGTAAAATATCTGACCACAATTTTACATATTTTTTCTACATACAAATTTCAAATTTATACATACCGGTAGTATGCAAATATTTTCATGATTTGTAATCACAACATTTTTTCTTTTGTCAAATCAACTTAGATAAGTTATGTAGTTCAGATAATATAATATTTTGAGTTTCTGGCGATTAAATTAATCTCCTTCATTGTATTAATTCATTTTTTCCATTTCAATGAACTTAAAATTTGAAGACAACCAGGTTACTTATTTTTGTTAAGTTAAACCAACAAAATGTTTTTACAGTCTATTCACGTATGCTTCAAATTTCAAATTATGAAAAAAGCACCAATAAAATGACTGAAATGTGTTCCAATAATGAGAAATTGTTGGCAATGAGCTTAATCGTCTTAATAAGTATGTTATCTTTATAAAAATATGCAAAATATATGGACATATGTACATATCATGCAGATATTTATATAAAAAAAGAGCTGTAAATAAGGGGACTTGGACTGGGATCATGCACTGGACATGTTTTCATGAGATTGACCCACATAATAAATAGAAATACATATTTCAATTTTACACAAGTCTTTGTTCTTTACACCCATATAAACACGTCCACCAACAGTCACAGGCGCTTGTTTGCGAACACAACCTCCTCGTCTCAGGTCAGGTATTGGAGGTATTGGAGGTCTGGCGCTTAGAAGTGCTTTGACAGGAAAACACACAAGGTTCTGGCCGCTTGCGATAAGTCTGCTTTCCATCAGCCATCACTCGCCTGTCACTGTTTATCTTATTCCCACCATCTCTGTTCGGCTGCCCTGATGCTTCTAGCCAAAGCCCGAAGTCTACAAGAGCGGACTTAAAAAAAACGCCCTTTGAAATGCAGACGGAGAACATAGCTAGAGCTCTTCACAAGCGGTCCGTTGTTCCCGGGTTAAAGAACGCCACCTTCGCTCCTCATGGTGGCTAAGAGAGGTGCCACCGCACATATCCCAGAATGCCATGCTGTGTGCGAGTGTGTCCAGCGGTCCCTGGTGCTTGACGGAACCATGTGAGGCTTGTGTAGGCGGCGGCACATGGTTAGATCAAGCACAAGAGACAGCTGCACCATAGGCCAGAGTGGAGGAGCGGAGCGGGACGGAGAGGAGGAGCAGGAGGAGGAGGAGGAGGGAGCAGCCAGGACACAGCAGCCAGGAAGCCACCCAGAACTCTGGGACACCATGCACACGGCCCCTTTCCCTCGTTACAGCACAGTCACTGGGACACTAGCCCACTGGGAATACAAGGCCCGAAAAGACAGACAGAGAGACAGACAGACAGGGACTAGAAAGACACACACATAAAGACATCACAGAGGAGAAAGGAGTGCAGCAAAGCCCTCTGCCACCACACGTACACACACATAAAACACAGATTCTCATGTGCAAACACTTGTAACGCCTGTGGAAACACACACTAGGGGTCTGGTGTTGCACTTGTTATTGTGCTGACATACTGACAGAACTTTAATGAGAAAAACCTGCGGCTTAATATCAAAGAAAACAGCCGCTGCACTTCTCCCACCAAATACTTTCCCTCAAGGGGCCCCCACTTTTGGCTGCGTGTGGGGGCCAGTTCCGACTCGTAAAGCATCTTCTAACAAGGCATCTTCATTCTGGTTCAGAACAGCCAGCATTGTCCTATTAGTACTCTGAAACCTGGCAGTGTGTGAGAAGAACTGCTCCAGGCCAGAGTATGCCACACACACATATAAGAAAAGGAAAGGGATGTAGTTGAATGTAGGGAGTCTCAGTGTGAAGTATGTGAGCTGCAATTGGTGGGCCAGACTTTGCCACTGTGGGCGGCGGTAGCTGAACTCTGCTCTTTCACTTGATTGACTGTCACAAGCACTCTTATAATGTCAGTCAATGTATCTTGGATCAAAAACAATCATTTAGTGGGTCATTTTATAACATATTCAAATAGAAAACAGTTATTTTAACATTGGACTGTATTTTTTATCAAATAAATGCAGCTTTGGTGAGCCATCTTTCAACATTTTTTTGAACAGTAGTGTATTTTGACAAATGAGCAGCCATCAAACAGCTGATTACTGAATTTAAAGGGTTAGTTCACCCAAAAATGAAAATTCTGTCAGTAATTACTCACCCTCATGTTGTTTCAACACCGTAAGACCTTTGTTCATCTTCGGAACACGAATTAAGATATTTTGGTAACGATTTACAATACGGGTGCACTAACTAATGCACAGATAAACATGAGTTAATGTATAACTAATGAAGAACTAAACCATTAATTAATGATTACTGCATCAGCAACTAATAAAGAGTCTATATGATTAATAGATTAAGTAATACATGAATTGCTATTAATTCAATGTGTCATTGTGTATTAATTCCTTAATAACATATTTCATTAACTAATAGTGTAAATTAACGTGTTAATTACCACAATTAGTCAAAGCTATGCACTTCAACTTCCAGTTGTCTGCTTTAATTAATCATTAGCTGAAGATTTGCAAAGGTATCATTATGTTATGACTTTACTTGTTGGGGCACATCATTATTAACTAGTCATTTAGTAATTGTAGTAATTTGCACATGAATTTGCATTAACAATGAAGTAATTAATCGTGTATTAATGCATATTAGTGTACCTGTCATATTATCTGGAAGTTGAAATACAAGGCTTTGGCTCATTCTGGTAATTATCATATTAATTAACACACTATTAGTTAAAAAATAGTTATTATGGAATTAATCCACAATTACATAATTAATAACAATTCATGTATGAACTAATACATTAACTTTACAGACTCTTAATTAGTTCATAATGTGGTAATCATTAAGGTCAGGTTACTAGTTTAATAGCGTAAGCTTCTGTTATTGTACGTCACACGCATCACACACATGACCAGCGTCGGCCAATAGTGAGCCTACGTGTGACGTAGCTCTACGCTATCACACTACGCTAACTGACTAGAGGACCATAGAGAAGGAAGTGAATAGTTGAAATAAAGTCGTTATTTTTGTTTGTTTTTGCACACAAAAAGTGTTCTTGTCGCTTGATAATCTTAAGATTGAGGCACTGTAGTCATTTAGACTATTTTAACAATGTCTTTAATAACTTTTCGAGGCCGGCAAGTTTCAATTTCTCAAGAAGCCTATGGACTAGTATGAAGGAGTGATCCAGCTCTCAGATTTAATCAAAAATTTCTTAATTTGTGTTCCGAAGATGAACGAAGGTCTTACGGGGTTGGAAAAACATGAGGGTGAGTAAATACTGACAGAATTTTCATTTTTGGATGAACTAACCCTTTAAACTTGGGCAATCATGTTATGAGGTCAAAAACATTTCGATATCTGAACGACAAATTTTTGCATTTCAGAATAAAAAGTCTTCTTCGAAAATTTCACAGTGTGTAACTCTACCTGTGCAGCGGAACTTCTTGCCCTTGACCTGGCTGATGCGTTTGTTGGCGAGCCGGCGGGGGTGGCTGCATCGAGCCCCGGTGGTCTCAATTGGATTGTCAAACAGGTAGTCGGCCAGCCACTTCAGATGACAGTCACACATGAAGGGATTCTGAGCGAGGTGTCTGTGGAGGGCAAACATAACAATAACTCAAAACGCTTAATTAGAGTCGAGGGAGTCTGTGGAATCAAACAGTAATATCCTGTGATAACAATACGATTACTATGCATTCATAAACATGAACTGCTATTTTCAGTGTAAGGTTTCCAATTGTTTAGTTCACATTTATCTTGCTGCTGTTGATGGTGTTGTTGTTTTGCCGTCTACTTGGAGCTAATTAATTGCGGGGTGAAGGCAGCTTCGCTCAACAGTTGCTTAGAGACTGGAGTCTCTTGGACCGAGTGTGGGTGTGAAGGATGGAGGGTTTGCGTGTGTGTGTGTGTGTTAACTCACAGTGTTTTGATGGCGCGCAGAGGGGCGAACAGGCCTTTGCTGATGGTCTGAAGCTTGTTGTCATAGAGGGACAGCAGGTTGAGTTTCTGCAGGTCTTTGAAAGTATTCACACGAAGACAGTTGATCTTGTTGGCGTTCAGCAGTCTGGAAGAATAAAGAAGTTTCATCACAACGACAGGCTTTTCTCATCAGTATAAACACACTTTAGCTTTAATAAAGCAAATAACAACAACAACAACAAAAAACATTTATTAAAGGAATAGTTCACTTTGAAATTAAGTTTGATATGTTTTAGCTTACCTCAAGGGCATCCAAGATGTCTTTGTTTCCACAGTATTTGACATTTTTCGGTCAAACCGTTGTTGTCTATCAGTCATATAATGCAGGTTTAGGGGGTCCTCGCTCAGTTGCGCGTCTACGTCACTCAGTGTTCACACATAGATTTCAGAAGTTTTACCTTTCACTGTGATGATCTAAACATATTTAGATATACAGGAAATCGTAATGGAAGACGATTTCTTGTATATCTAAATATGTTTAGATCTTCACAGTGAAAGGTAAAACTTCTGAAATCTCTGTGTAAACAATGAGTGACGTACATGCACGAGAGATCACTTCCAGCGCATGCGCAGACCGGAGCGCCCTTGCCCTCAGATCACTTGTATGTCGCTGTGGTTATACGAGGTAAAAACTATATAAATATTATTCGTTTTCTCACACAAACCGCTCGTTTCATGTCTTAGGTCATCAGTGTGTACTTACATTTATGAGTCATTAAATGATGTTTAATTTTGACTTCTCTGTGCATGCTCTTTTTAGGTGAACTGAGGGAGGACCCCATATATCTCCATTATATAACTGATAGACAACAACAGTTTGACCGAAAAATATCAAAATTGAAAATCCTGTGGAAACAAAGACACCTACATCTTGGATGCCCTTGGTAAGCTAAAACATATCAAAAATTATTCTCAAAGTGAGCTATCCCTTTAAGCTTTGTCATAACATTTGTTTAAATTTGCACTCTTCACAGACACTTTCTAATCAAGTGATTTACAGTACAATGCACGTATCGTTCAAATGACATACAACCCCCACAAATATTGTGAAATAAATACTGTCAAAATTGTGAATTCATAAAATAAAAATAAAGCACATATAAATAAATTAAACTGAAAAAAAAATCGAATTGAAAATCAACAAAAGAACAAAGAAGCTAACAGAAGAAAAGAAAAGCAATAAAGCAAAGCAAAAGAAAACAAGAAACAACAACAAAATAAAATAACAAAAAATCTAAACAAAAGATCAAAATGATAAAGAAAAGAAAAGCAACGCAAAAAAGCACAAGAAACAAAAAGCGAAACAATCAAAGTAAAAAATAAAGCATAGGACAAAACAAAATAAAATAAAGCAAAACAAATGAACAAAAAAGCCAAAGAAAAAAGCAAAACAAAACAAGAACCAAAAAGCAAAACAAGACAAAGAAAATGAAAGCAAACCAAAAAGAAAGGCAAAACATAAAAAAACATATTTAAATATTTAAATTTCATTAACACAATGACAAAATTACAGAAATTTAAATATTTGCGTTTTTTTTCGCAATACATAACCATCAGTCATCGAGAACAGCATAACACACACTGTTCTTGATGACTGATGGTTATGAATTGCATTAGGCTGTGATGTAAACTCTGTTGAGCATGTGTGGCTTCCATAGTCCTCAGTGACCATTTAAAACCCTCTTTCAGTGCAGTGTGTGGGAACCACAAAGTGCTCAAAGCTGTGTGACTTGATGTTAGTATCAGAAACATATTCAAATCTATAGCTGTAATTTACATGGTTCACAGATCACAAACAAAACAGCAGTGAATGTATTGTCGATGAATCGCTGGAGTATTCATCTGCTGAGTTTTACCCATCACTCTTGTCATGTCACGCACTCCTCCCTGACTTCCAGCCGCCTTCACATCTTTCCTGTTTAGGCCGCCTGACAATTGACTAACGCAGTGGTGTGCTTAATTACTGAAAGCCATTGTAATGAGGTTTTGTCTTGGAGCAAATGCATGCATCGTTAGTCTACTCATAAGGTGAACTAATTAGGTTTGAGTATCTCAAAAAAAAAAGAAAGAAAGAAGATAAAAAAAGCTTGAATAAAACCATATACAACAGAAAGAAACACAGAAACACCAAAACAGCCTATGGGAAATGGCTGGAATGCCCTGAGGTGTTCCTTTGAATGGGTCTTACTAAGAAAATCCATTAAGGATGAAGAACTCTAATTGCTGAAAACAAAGATAATTTGTGTCATTATGGCAGTTGACGGTGAAAACATGGGCCGGCCGCGCCAGTGCATCTATGCTGTTTTAAAAGCGTAATAACAGGGGATGTGAGCTTCTGTTTGTGCCTGCGGCAGAAGTGTGTACGTTAAGAAAATCAGAAGCCATCAGAATTTCCCCAAATCATTAGAATAAGCAGAAACAGGCCCATTAGAGCAGACAGATTCACCTCAATTTGGACCATTAAATGCGGAAATTACGCCTGAGCAATGTTTCCATGTCTACACAAATATAAGTAGGTGTGAGGGACATGTTTTGCAATCAAGTCCAATTTACATACTAATGATGTCGAGAGTGTTCCCCCATGAGGAACTGAAAATAAAACTTGAGGCTCCCTTCAGCCAAAACAGTGCATCTTTTAGTGCTTTACCTTTTTTATGAGGGAAAAGGGGAGACATGTTCTACCTCCTATAATCCTGTGAGTCCAAACGCTTCACTAAACACATTGTAGAGCATGATTTAAGAAATGTTTAATAGTCTGTCTCGCTGATAAAACATTCTCAAATCATGATAATGTGGACTATAGGTCTTCCACAAAAAGAAAATACCTAATTCGTATGGTGCTAAAATGATATATTATTTCATATATAAAATGATATCATATTTAAATATGATAAATATTATTATAACTGTTTTCTATTTGACAATATTTCAAATTGTAATGTATTCCTGCGATGGTATTTTCAGCACCATTACTCCAGTCTCCAGTGTCACATCATACTAATATGCTGATTTGCTGCTCAAGAAACATTTCTTATTATCATCAATGTTGAAAAAAAGTTGCGCTGTTTAATATTTTTGTAGAAACTCTGATTGTTGATTCTTTGTTGAATAAAAACATCCAAAAGAAAAGGATCTTTTGTAAAAGCTTTTACTGTCAATTTTGATTAATTTAAAAGAGTAGTTCACTTTTAGAAAAACTTTTGCTGATTATTTACAGTACTCTCCCCCAAGTCGTCCAAGATGTCCATGTCATTCTTTCTTCGGTCGAAAAGAAATGAAGGTTTTTGATGAAAACATTCCAGCATTTTTCTCCATATAATGCACTTCAATGGGAACCAAATGGTTCAAGGTCAAAAAGACAGTTTCAGTGCAAACTGCAAACTGTTCAAATGGCTTTATCAAGCGAAACGATCTCTCATTTAATAAAAAAATAAAAAATGAACGAATCTTTTTCCGAGTCAATTTGTTCGTTTCGTTTGTTGAATGAACCAAATGACTTGAAAAAAGATTTGTTCATTTTGATGAATGAGTTCGAACAGGAGAGTCACAAACGTGCATCACAGTACAGAGCATGGCGAGCATTTGAGCTTATAAAACTTAAACTTTGTTATTTATTTATTAAATGAGCGATCGTTTCGCTTCATAAGACACGTTTAAAGCCCTTTGAACAGTTTGCAGTTTGTACTAAAAGTGTCTTTTGGACCTTGAACCGTTTGGTTCCCATTGAAGTCCATTATATGGAGAAAAATGCTGGAATGTTTTCATCAAAAACCTTAATTTCTTTTCGACTGAAGAAAGAAAGACATGGACATCTTGGATGACATGGGGGTGAGTAAATTATCAGCATTTTTTATTTTTTTTAAAGTGAACTACTCCTTTAAGCACTCTTGTATAATGATTTTCAGTTGCACTTTATTTTACAGTTCGTGTACTTGACATTGAAGGTTATTGAGTCAGAAATGCAACACTCACAGCAGTTGGAGGGAGACCAGGCCATCAAACAGTCCCTTTGGGATCTCTGTGATTTGATTTCCATACAGGACCCTGAAGACAAACACAGATACAATGCAAATAGAAAACCATGAATCAACCCACAATGTCTCAATATGTGTAACCCATGTGCAACTCATCAAGCGTGTACATTCTTTCTTTCTTAGAGTGGCTTTCATGTTTAAAAAAGAGGTGGCAAAATCATGAAAAGATTCATCAAATGTGGTTCATAAAACTCAACCCAAGTCTTCAATAGTCTTCCAAGTCTCCAATATAGCTGTATAGTATGTCAGAAAGTCAGTTTTCCTGATAATGTTCACCTTTAGTAAGCTATCAAGTTAGATGTGATCGTGAACCAGATTAGTCTAATTGATGATGTTTTTTGAACCACTGAAATGTCTGATTAAGAACAAATATTTAATTATCGGATAATTAAAAATAATCACGTTAATACTTCGCAGATGTCAACGTTTTCAGCCAATAACGAATATAATTTCTGTCTGTTCCTGACACAAAGCATGAATCATGAATCGTGTTCATTTATGATGTTTTTGTGTCCTTTTGAAGTTTGAATGCGGCAGTCTCCATTCACAGCAATTGTTTTTTTTGTGTTTCATAGAACAGAGAATGAGTTCAAATAAGTTCACAATGTTCACATTTGGCTGAACTGTTTCTTCAAGACAATCTATTTCCAAGCAAATGTGTGGTTGTGTATTTATGGCATCTTGTGCATCCTCTTTGCTTTATTCCTATTCCCTGAGAGACTAGAGCTCATCGTCCTCCCCTCAGCATCTCTTTAATCACACGGCATGTGTAAATGAGCTCTGTCTCGTGTACAGCTGTGTGGGCCGGTCGCAGGGAAATAGATCTGACCAAATTAATATGCGCTCGCTGACTCTTCTGTCTCATTCTGACTGGTTGTGGTGATTTAAATGAAAGTCCTCCCTCGTGTTCACGCTGCTGCAGATGTCAGTACACACACACACACACACACACACAGTGAAAGACGCACACGCAGGCAGACAGTGGGCTGTCTCATCTCCATTCTGTCAGCCTCCTGTCAGCTGATTTATTCGACACCTGTCCTTTCACCTGACTGTCTACATTTACACGCGCTTATTATCTTGGTAAATGTATTGCTATGCAGCTCAGGTATATGAATTTTAATATGTTTGTGTCAGTTTGTGTGAGAAACACTTACAGTGAATTGAGCGAGCGCAGGCCACTAAACGCATCTTCCGCAATCTCGGATATCTGATTCTTGCTCAGGTCTCTGTAATAGCATAAAACACACAAATAGAGATAATAAAGTTGACTGTTAGACCAACAAAGGGATGGTTTGCACATTTGTCTGACAGGATGTCGATAGTATGCTCTATAAATACCCAGCAAACTCGATACTGAGGGGAAAGAACATAAGAAACTGGAGGCCATCATTAGCATTTAATCTTTGAAAGGATATTTCAACTAAAATTGAAAACCATTTAGTTCTTCTCACAAGCTATATCATGACTTGAAATATCAATTTAGCTGTTATTCATTTTTACATGAGGGTGATTAACTGATCATTTGTCTCCTGTCATGTACTATATCAGTGTTTCTCAATTTTAGATTGTTGAGGTAGAAATGAAATCCACAGCAAAGTGGTTGTCAAAAACGGTACACTTTCTTTTTTTTCTCGGGTGTGTTTTTCTCAGGAGGCCCAGATTTGTTTGAATATATTCCACAAAATGATAAGCTCTTCATGTCAAGGAATCACTGCCAAAGCAGAGGTGAGAAGATCTCATTAAATATCTGAATTTGTAACCAAAATATAGATTTTCTTGCAGGGTGACATCCCTCTATAAATCTCTGTGTGTGTGTTAAGAACCCTTCTACTATTTTTTCTAGTGTTTGACAGGAGACCACTTGCAGTAAGTACAGAGTTCATTCATAGGGCAAAAAGTGTAAAAAGGCAAAGTGTGTATATCCCTAGATGTGTCAAATAGATTTTTTTTTTTTTTAAGTTTAGGGTCAGTAAGATTTTTTTTACAGCCGTGTTTAATAACATGTACACACTGTCTAATTATTGTACTAATTAAAATAACTGGGTAATAAGGTGCTAGTCCTGAATGTATCCCTAAATCTAATCTTAATCGATGCAGTTTCCTTAAATTATTCAGTACTTTCTTTCTATTTTGATAGACGTATCTAATGATAAATACAGCAAGTGTTTTCAGCATCATTAGTGTCACATGATCCATCTGAAATCATTCTAATGCTGATTATGTGCTCAAAGAACATTTTTTATTTTTACCAGTGTTGAAAACAGCTGCATAATAATTTTGTAGAAAATGTGCTGCATTCGTTAACAGGATTGTTGATTAAAGGAGTAGTTCACTTTTAAAGAAACTTTTGCTGATAATTTACTCGATCACCCCCATGCCATCCAAGATGTCCACGTTTTTCTTTAGTTGAAAAGAAATTAAGGTTTTTGATGAAAATACTCCAGGATTTTCTCCATTTAATTGACTTCATTGGGAACCAAACGGTTCAAGGTCCAAATGAGAGTTTCAGTGCAGCTTCAAAGAGCTTTAAATGACACCAGACGATGAATCGGTCTTATCTAGGACCCTTTGAGTCATGACTCGAAAAAAGATTTGTTCGTTTTGATGAACGAGTTTGAACAGGAGCGTAAGGCGAGAACAGAGCAACGCGAGCATTTGTGCTTATAAAACTTAAACTTTTTTTTTTTTTTAAATGAACGATCGTTTCGCTAGATAAGACCCTTATTCATCGTCTGGTGTCATTTAAAGCCCTTTGAAGCTGAAATGAAACTCTCATTTGGACCTTGAACCGTTTGGTTCCCATTGAAGTCCATTATAAGGAAAAAAATCCTGGAATGTTTTCATCAAAAACCTTCATTTTTTTTCGACTGAAGAGAGAAAGACATGGACATCTTGGATGACATGGGGGTGAGGAAATTATCAGCAAAGTTTTTTTAAAAGTCAACGACCCCTTTAATTTCAAATGAACAGCATTTATTTTAAACATATTTTGTAAGATTATGTCTTTACGGGAGTTGCTACTGCCAGTAAATACACAGTGCACTGCCGTGAGCAAGTAAGAAATGCTGCTGCTGTACACTACATGGATAACCCGTAGCAGATCTATACAGGTGGAGCAAGTGCAGACCAGGTATTTAAAAGTTGAGCGGCGAGCTCATTGGCTACTGATACAGCAAGAACCAATCAGCTGCGCTCTATAGAGAATGATGTGATTGCATATAGGCTCATTTAAGGACTCATCAGACAGCACCATCTAGAGTTTCTTAACAGAACGTTTGTATTAGTTTGTGTTGTTGTGCGAGGAAGATCTTACATTCTCTTCAGTTTCTTGTACGGGGAGAGCGCTCCTTTTGGGATGCTCTTGATCATGTTCTGCTCCAGACGGCTGCATGGGAACAGATGGATATGTTTTGTTATACAACACTGACTTTTCCATTACACAAGTAATTGAATATAATAAAATTACAAAACAAATATGGCACAGCACAGAAAAGAAAACAATGACATATCCCTGTTGGTGAATCACAAATGTACAAGTACATATAGAACATTTTCCCTCAAGACACTCTGAAAGCATGTGTAGTGTAGACCCACTTTTAAAAATGAAATGTTCCAATTAAAAAAAAAATAAAAACCATTCAGTAAAAATAGTTTTTGACAAGACAGGGGTGGTTTGTTGAACCTAAAGTGCTCACAAGAGTCTTTCATTGAAAACCCTTTCATTTTTGAGAGTCTGGGTGCTTAGTGCTCCTTCAGGAGGTCTACAGAGAAAGCCATCTATAAAATGCGTTATGGCAGCCCCTACATTAAGCGTTCAATTTGTGTTTTGGCTCACTGGGATAAGAGTGCACCGACAACAAGTCCCTGAGAAATAAGCACAGCTCTACTGCATGCTCCAGGTTATATATCATTTCATTAGCCCAATTTGTTTTTGGCCATGGGTTCGGTTTGGCTAAATGTGTCCTAGCCTGCATATCCATTTATTATGCAAAGGTCATACACTATTGACATAACAACAACGGCGAGGAACAGCACATATCAGGGCAATTACCTACCTGTCCTTTAGTGCAAACAAGGATCTCTGAATCAATATGGATACCAAATACCCTGACCAAGACGATATGGACGTTCTCCAAAGCACGAGAACATTCAATCAGGCCGAGGCAAGACAGCCAAAGCACATTGAACAACTTGAGTGCGTTCTTTGCAATAGCGTCCTGCTGCATTGCTATATGATCATTAAACACAGCGTCCCAGTCTATTCGCACAATGGAAATGTCGGCCTTGCAAATTTCCCGTGCACAACCAAATCGTCCTCGTTTTTTTTTTTTTTTTTTTTTTTTTTTTTTGGAGGATACCGTTAAACCTCTTTTGGATGCTCTTTTGTATTTGAAGGACACTGAATACAGACGTAGCTGGAACAACAACAAGGTCAGATGTTTTAAACGGCTGTACTGTATGCATTACATTAATTTGATTGCTTTTTACTCCGAAAGCTAAGATTAATAAGCTAACATTAACATTATACAAGCTACCTTGGACAGCACAATGTTGTAAAGGTCATTTGAAAAATGTAAATAGGCAGAAACATTTACAATAACATTAATCTAATAGCTGCTTTAGAAAAACAGTGGTTTTCTCATAAGAAGTAACCAAATCATACGAAAAGCCACAGTAATCAAATACATACAAAGAAAAACAAGGCTTTAGAGAATATCCCTGTAAGTGAGGTTAAAATTGAAAGTTTTTGGTAGTAATGAGAGCAAACTCAATTCTAGGTATTGATTAAAATGCACATCTTGGTGAGATATTAATGTAAATGTAATGTAAAACAGCCTTAAGTCAATGTGTATTATATGCACACCCAAATAGACCTGCTGCAGACTAATATGTTGCTAATATTAATTAAACCAAGTTATTAACAATACAAAGAGAAAATAAATTTTCTGTTTACTTGAAAAGTAACTTGTAACAGCTAATATTTCGGTGCACTCATTAGCATATTGGCTTTTGCTGATGTGAAATGTTATAGATCCTACTTAAGTTTTGGTGTAAGAGTACTTATATATACTTCATATTTTTTTTCACACGTAAGTTTAAAAAAAAATTCTAACTGACCCCCCCAGCGTGAGTTTTTCAAGGCGACCGCTATTTAGGGTTAGGGTTAGGGTTAGTCAAATATGTGCAAGTGGATAGGTTTTGTTGTTTAAAAATCTTTATAACGATCGCGTTAGTTGAGCTGTATGCACAATGGGCGGCGCCATTTTAGTTTCTTTTTCAGTTCAGAGAATCGGATCTGTTGGATTTACAACGTCAATTCCTCCACTTCTCACGAAATACATGAAAGTAAGTGGCCGGTGAACTGGGAGAAGAATAGGGTCAAATGTTAAGCTATTTACACAATGTGTATCTGATAGGCCTATGAATAAAACGTGTCGTCTTATTATAATTGAAAGGATTATTATTGCTGCTTCCATAGACATCAGAGTGTATTTTAAAAATTATTGTTTTGCTAGTACTTATGTGTATTTAAATGCCTGAAACCTAAAATAAACATTATGTGGTTGAAAACACTCAATAGTTGTGATATGGGCTCTATGCACGGTGGTATCCCAGATAGCAAACTGACATTGAATCAACGTGGAAACATGACATCAAAACAACGTTGATCTGACATAGTTTTGCTCATCGAATTAACGTTGAACCAACGTCAGACGCGTCATTCTTTCAAAACTAACGGAAAATCAACTTGAAATCAACGCGTTGTTTCAACGTTATGAAAGCAAACCAATTTTCGATTTTCATTTAGCTTTGAAGAATGCCGCGTCTGACGTTGGTTCAACGTTAATTCGATGAGCAAAATCAACGTTGTTTCAATGTCATGAGAGACGTCGTTTCCACGTTGATTCAATGTCAGTTTGCTTCCGGTTAAGGTATAAGGATGCTCGTTTACTTCCGCCGATCGTAGAGTCCAATGCAATACCGATAATTTATATTGAATTTTATACTCCATGGTTTTACTAAAGAAATGTTAGTCACAAGAACAGACAAAACAGACATCCCTCGTTGTGTTTATGCTTCTTTTTAAAATTATATTAAATAAACATAACTATATATACAATTACATCTAAACATATGAACGTTTCGTTTCAAAGATTATTTTTGCCAGTAAATTTTGAAGACAGCCATAATCCCGTTTTCCTCAATTTTCCTCTGCTTTAATCTCCCCAACCGGAAACTGTCGAGCATCCTTGCGTCAAATGCGGAATTTATGCGTGCATATAGTCCATAGGACAACACTGAGCGCGTCTGTCTCTGGCTCAGCGCCAGCCAACGCGCGAGAGACAGCTTTGGTTGAGTACTGCTTGAATCTGCTCATAAGACACTCCGCTTTCCTGGACATTAGATGCTCAGTATAAGTTGTCTCATTTTGATCCTTGACTGGTTATCTAATTGCCTACACCCAGCAGACAGGCTGGTAGACCTCCAGTAGCTCTGAGCAAGATCTATCTGCAACTGCGGCACGGCGTTAACACACTCGCTAATGAGGCTGCAATACTGCACTGCTAATGGCCTTTGTTATATGACAGGAGAAAGAAGGCAGATCACTGCACATACAATACCAGCGGTAAGTACTTATCACACTGGACTATTTTTACACAAACATAGAAGGGAAATGGTTTTAAGGAGTGGAATCCATACATTTCCACAATTCCTTCAGGCAGGTTGGCAGGAATCTCCGTCAGGCCTTTTCTACGGCAGTCTACGATGTTGTTGTTGCAGGTGCAGGCGGCAGGGCAGACGGGCGCCTGGGGAGCACATGACCGTGGCTCTGTCTGAGTAGGACCTGGGGTGGAGGACAAGATGGTAAAATAACATATCGGGAGGAAAATTGACTAAAGACAACATGGTTTACTGACACAAGAATGCAAATGGAGATCACAGGGAACATTAACACCATTTTAAGTGAAATATGAATAGAAACACATAGTTATAACTGTCATGTAGCTTCTATTCAGGACTATGAAATTTAGCTTTAATTCACAATTTAATTAAAATAGCTTTTAATACAGTACATAATCAGTAAGAACATGCTCCCTGTTGTTTTATTGTTTGTAGCTTAATTAAGAAACGCCTTTTCTTGCAGCCAGTTTTGTGTTTGTATTGGAGTATATTCATCAGTTGATTAATCAGAGGGGGAGGAAAATGGGGCTTAATTAACAAGGGCTGTACGTGAACTTTTTCACCAATGAAACCCAAAGGTCCATTAAGATACAGAATGTATGAAGTGGCTTTATAAAACAACACAATGAAAAGGCCCTCAGTGTTCACTTGTATTAAATAGCCATTATTTTCACATTAATCATTATTAGATATTTTTTTATAAAGGTTTTTGTTTTTAATGAACCCTATTTAAAGACCATTAAGATTTATTTTACACTTCTCTGTCAGTACTATAATGTTAAAAAGTATGTCAGAGAAGTATTTATAATGCCAGACTGAATTTATTTTACACATAATAAATAAATAAATATTGTGCCATGGTTTTCACAATCATATTGCAATACTGAATTAGACATACTTTTTGCAACAGGGTGAGAATTTAGGGAATTTGTGAAAATTTGTATTTAGTAAATGATATAACAATGCAAAAAAAAAAAATTACCTATACCTATATAGTCTTACATTACCTATAATTTATTATATATATATATATATATATATATATATATATATATTTTTTTTTTTTTTTTTTTTTTTGTTGTTGTAGTAATAAGATCACTTTTTTTCCCAGACAGGAAAACTTACATTTGTTAGGAGTTAGGAGACAAAAGAAGGATATTCTGAAAGAGAAAGTAAATTCGGTGTCATACCTGTGCACACGAATTCTCTCTTTTGAACATCAGGGACATTGAGACCTCTCATATGGGCGGGGGCCATGCACTGTGTGAAAGGGGCCAGCCCCCTTCTCTGCCGCAGCCAATCAGACAGCCAGGACAGGTGGCAGTCGCAGTGCAGGCTGTTGGAGTGCAGGCGCCTAGAGAGAGAGAGAGAGAGAAATGAGGGACAGATAGTAAGATAGTATCCATCCAATAAAGGTCAGAGGAGTTTTGTATGTCTAACAGGAATGCTGGATTGGATGATACTTGAGTTGTTGGGAAATAGCTTTCTGAAGACACAATGAAGAAAATAAATGTTTACCACACCCTTCATTGCAAGCATATACCATCTGTGATAATAAGGAATTTAAATGCAAAAGAGGAAGGAAATATCTGCCGGGATGAAGGGACAAGTAAGTATTCATAGAGAGAATCTCTAAAGAGTTTAAGTAATGCAGACTCAAAATAACACATCAGAATTAAAGTGACAACACAAGGGACATTCTATTGTTCAGGTTATAGTAGCATCTCCACCGAGACCACAGTAAACCACTCGCAAATCCCCAGAGCATGCCCCTTCATTTCATAAAGGTCTTTAACAATATGGCACAATTCCCAATAACATCTTTCACATCTTAATATAAATCTCTCAAGGACCATTACCCGAAGGGGACGCGAGACACAGTTCAAAGAAAAAGTGGTGTCAGCAAATCAAAAGGCGCAGCTATATCAGTCACCACTGTCTGTAAATGAAATAACAGGACGAATCCAGTTAGGGGGACAAAAACCTTCAGCATGGGGGCGAAGGTTTTAATAGAGCTTTTCCCATTACAAATCCAGTACCTGGCCCCCTGTCTTTGCGGATTAATTACAGATGAGTGGGATTACAAGATGGATGACCATGGGGAGAAGGAGCCTCGGCTGCCTCAGCTGCGCATGGGATGAGCCGAGGACGGGCACAATGGGGCAGCTCCACGTGCACACACACCCTATCGACCGTGATACACAGAAAATGACTACTTGCCTAGCGGTGGGAGTGCTTTTCATTTGTCTGAGTTATTGAATGGCAAGCATCATGCGGTGATATCATTTGATCTAATTGAATGCACAAAGGTACTACATCTGTAGAAGGGGAGGCGAGGTGGAGGTGGTGGGGGATAGGTGAGGTGAACTCGACTTTTTTCATCAGAAATCGGGAGCCAAACCACCATCCAACTAAATGGATTACCAACATCTCTAAACATTTGATTTAATAAGTTATTTTTACGAGCAACAAATTCAATACAGATATATCAGGGATATTAGAGACAGAAAATTCAATCCAAAGGAACTGGGTAGCAACCAAAGCCTCGCTGAGGATAATTCAATACTGCCCAGGGAGCAATGCGGCTGGCCATCCGAGCATCAGCAAATTCAATCCCGCATGAGGGGGCTGGCCTGTCTGATGGGCTGACTGATGGGAGGGAAGCCAGACTGCTCGGTTGTGGAGCTCAAGCTACGGATGACTCCAGAGAGAACGCTCGGCGGCCATGATGGAAAGAGGAGACATAGATAGAGAGAAAAAAAAATGACTGATTGAAGGAGGAAGCTCTGAACATGTGCACCAGGGTCACAGTAATACTAAAGCCTTGCATTTCAGACTGAGATTCAAGCTCCCAGAAGCCCCAAAATGAAACTAGTGCTTACTCTTGACATATTTCATTATTTATCTCTCTCCTAGACCCAAAGTTCTGAGAAGAACGACCACACTCGAATGACAACAAAAGCATCTCAGAGTTACGTTAATATCGTAGGTCAGCCACAGCAGGGAATGATTCATGCGAGATTTGGGGACTGTGTAATTATTTATATCAATTGTGGTTTGGGTCCAACAGTGCAACACAGGCAAATGTGTAAGACAGCCATCTCAAAATGTTCAACCAAGACAATGTCTGCTGCACAAACAGACCACCGCTCTGATAACTGGTATGGCGTCACCACAGAGCCTGGAAAGGGGCTCCAGCTAAGCAGCAAATCCTCATAAAGTAGAGTTAAGATTTAGGACTAAATGTAGATGCAGTATATAAATGCCTGACTGGGTAGCATTAGTTGTAATGCCATGAAGTGGACAAGAAGCTTCTCAGTACTCACAGTGTCCGCAGCTTGGGCATGTGGTTGAAGCTTGACAGTGGGATGAGGGTGATGTTGTTGTTGTTGAGAGTGCTAGAAAGAAAAAAAGAGAGAGAACAAATGTTAGAAATTTGAACAAATGTTAGCATTTACCTAATTTCATTTAAGTAGGAAAACTAGCGAGTGACTTCAGATAACATTTGACAATCAAGACCAGAACAAAATACAAAATAAAAAGGGTATTAGATAGATAAAATAAGAAAGTCACACTGAAAGTAGTGAGTGTCCACATAAGCATTTAATGGTCCGCAAAAGGATGATATCATCGATGATGTGCGCACTTGTACGTATGGATGGCAGACCTTTCTGTTTCCTGTCATACCAGCCACAGTTGTGATTAGCACTACTTAGCTGACCTAATCTTGTAATCAATCCATCCCACCCCATAACCCCCAAACCTATCACACACATACAGAACACACAGCCTCCTGTACTTCCACCTCTTGGAAAACGGTCTGGGATCTCTCAATTTAGGATTTTAAATGGTTCCTGCTTGGTGGGGAGAAACTGCTGAATCCCGCTGACTACGCCAATACAGTTTACAACTTGGGTTTGGAGTCTGAGTGTTCCTTCTAATGAAAGGTTTAATGACAGCCAGTTTTGGAGTGAATTCTCCAAAGGACACTCCATGATTTACATTTTACATTTACATTTATGCATTTGGCAGACTCTTTATCTAAAGTGACTTACACTGCATTCATGTTATACTTTTGTATTTTTTTCATGCATTCCCTGGAAATTGAACCCATGACCTAGCCTGGCTAAAACCAGGCCATTCTCAGTTATGGTCTGGCAAAGCGTCATAGACAAATCATTTCCAGAGGGGCGTCACCAACGGACGTCGCGTGTAGACCTAAAAGTAATCAGAGCGATGAAGGAGATGACGTATGCAGAGCGCCGGCCGGTGGAGAAACATCTCAGAGTGTTGTTCTTGGGAAATGTTCAAATCGCGTAAAACAGACGCGATAGCGGATTCGAACGAGTGATGATCGACGGCGGCATCCATCTTTGTAATGTAGCCTACAAAATCTGCTCCAAAATCCCAGCGCTGTCGTCATCGCGTAAAGCCCGCCCCAACATTTCTGATTGGTGCCGTGATTTTGACGGATTGGAAATGGGCTTGAATGAGCTCTTTGCCAGACTAACTTTCAGAGCAAATCTAAATTTGCCGTAAGTTGTCTGGGTTTTCCCATGCTACCCATGACGCCATGCATTCTGTTTGAGCTACTGGAAACCAAATACTCTCATCTGATCAGACCAGCTGCTGGTCTTACTTTTTATTCAAGGCCAGGTAGTTCAGTCTAAACACTGCGGTAAACAAACGAGCTATTTCTGTCAGGACCACTATCATCAAATACGATTGACAATTAGCATACAGTTTGGATTGGCGGTATGGTTCCATTCTGGGCGTGGATCTTCCAGCATGGACAAGAGCAGCAATCAGAACAGAACCAACATGAATGTATCTGATTCAAGGGGAATCAGAATGCCAAATCCTGACTGGGCAAGAGGAGGAGCTGGGGATGGAGGAGGGTAATTAGCTCCAACGCATTCTCACCCCAAGGCGTCACCTTTGACCATGCTTCAATATTTGACGCTTTAGGCGCCCTTTAGCGTCAGTTACATGACGCGATCCGATGGCGTCATCTAACTGACGCTAAAGGAAAGCGTCAATTAGATGACGCGGTTAGGTTTAGGTCTGGGGTGGGGGTAGGGTTACACGCGATCCTAGGGCGTCATCTAACTGACGCTAAAGGGCGCCTAAAGCGTCAAATATTGAAGCATGGTCAAAATGCTTCCAAAGGCGTCAGTTAGGTGACGCCTTGGGGGTGAGAATGGGCTGTTAGCTCCTGAGAAACGCGATAGCTGCTGACAATACTGAAGGAGCTAAACAGTGATGGGCGTCATTTTCCTAAAGGTAGACGTGGATCATCTGAGAGTCAGCTGATGCAAGCTTGACTAAAGTGACCTGTCAGAACTGACGCGACGCTTGATTTAGATTATTTACCATTTGAGTGATCAGATTTACAATTCAGACCAATGGAAATTTCCCAGCCTGGGTCCATTTCTTGAATGTGGGTGCTATAAAACTGCACAAATCAGAGGGAAACTAATCCCTCTAAAATATAACATTCTTGTGGGACTTTAAATGATATCTGAATATTGATTTTGGCTCAGATCTGTGGTGGAACACTTTATTATGAGTGAGGGAAAGAAAAAAACTAACTAAATGGAATGGAAAATTATTGTTATTCTACACATAGACACAGAAAATTCCGCACAAATTACACACAGGGTGAAGGAATCACCCTCGTGAGGAGTTGACCAAATCCGCACCAGAAAGTGAACCTCTTGTCAAGGCCGCTGTGGCTCGGAGGTTTCATTGCTGTTCTCTGCTGCTCTGTAGAGATGTAAATAGAAGAAGCTCTGGGCAAGCCTGAGGGAGGAACGCCCTGGTAAAACCCTGTAATACCAAACTATTACCAAGGGAAAATGTAATTTGCTCAGGAAGGATTCACTCCTATCTGTGAAACCTTCACTCTCTTCTCCCAAAGTTAGGTGATGCAAGTGGAACTAACAGTGGAAAAAATAAAGACAAAACCGAGAACTAAAGAAGGATTGTTAAAGAAGGGAAGAGGATCGACAAAGAGTGCCGAACAGCTTGTGGTAGTGCTCGCTCGCTCATTCATATTTCAGCCATCCGGTGTCCAGGATTAGAATCCCTGAGTAAAAATAATCTCATATAGATTTCCTTCATGCAATTGTAATTCGAAAAAGCTGTAGCTGGACTGGGCGTCACAGTCACGTTAAGTCAGCTTAAACCTGACATGTTCCATGCCCCAGAGCGATGACCTTCGGTGTCTCAGCGGATAGACTGCACATGTTTATGTATATGGACATCTCTGCCTCTGACTGAGTCAAGCTTTTCTAAAAGAAACAATGAGCACTAGACCAATGGCCTTAAAGTAGAGCCCATTTTTCTATCTTAAACAAGACTGTCAGTCTTCCATACATCCAGCCCTCTGCAGTGCAGAGGGCCGCCCACTGCTGCAGCGTGGGATTTCAGCAAATAACAGCGCAGCGTGAGCAACTCTTGCTAAAGCCACTTGTGATAATTGAAGATCACCTTGAGTCTTTAAAATTCCTGTCTTCATCACTAGCAATATAAAGTCATTCCGCCTGTGACGCCTAGTAGTTGACCATAAATCAAAACTGTTAAGCAAAGTCAACGTGCTGCAGGGGTAAGGACCACATCCACAGTGACTCCTGAGAAAATGCACCCAAGCTGAAAAGAAATGAAATCAATGCGGGACCTGACAAATACCAAACTCTACAGCTTGACTGTGTAACTTTATGATTTTATTTAAAGCTCTATTGATGGAGGCGTCAATAGAACCAGGCAGCTGTTAATTGCTCACAACGCTTAGTCTGTGTCAGCTTAGTCTTAGTCAGAGGGGCACGTTTTCTTTTTACTTCTCTTTTCTATGTCAAGAAAGCTTTCCCACAGTTGCAAAAAGCATGACAGTGGGATCTTAAGTGCTCTCAGGCTTTCTTCGGGCCTTCATTAGAGGGACTTGGAGAGGGTCTCTGGATACTTCACTCCTAAAAGACGGCAGCATTTTCAGAGCCAGAACATTTTGAAATAAGAAAATAAGAGAGGGGTTGTTCGGGTGGACGGCAATGGACGGCAGGGAAGTAACTGAAGTGCTCCCGGCATCTGACTTTTCCTGAGAAATCAGGAGGCAAAGACATGTTATTTGACATGACAGGATTGAAGCAGTGAGTATGAACTTTTCAGAAATTAACTTTCCTGGTAACTGATACTTGTCCTAAATTTCATTCTTAAGAAAAAGTGCTTAAAAAAAATAGTTGTGCTCAACTTTTTTTTTGTTACAGTATCTTCTCAATCCATAATTTCAGTGTTGTGAAACTGAGTGCAAGTGTATAGAGTAGGGAGTACACAAGCATGTCTATATATGACTTGGAAACTAGATGTGAGCCAAAGTGTCTGTGATGTTGTCATCGTTCCATGGGAAACTATCGCTACAACAGCACAATTGTGAGTTTGCAATGCAAGCGTCCATCCGAGCAACCATTTACAGGGCATCCCTGCGTCGGGCCCTCGAGTCAAAACAAATGAGTAAAGTGCCTCCAGATGGAGCGTAATTTCATTATGAGCTCTTGGGCTCCACTTGTTGCAGTGCGATGGAATTCGTGTGCAAAGGATGGAAGCTGTTGCCATTGTTTAGCTTAGCATCGTAAGTTCAGCTTCAGCACAAAGCCGCAATCAGATGTTATTCCGCTAATTCAAATAAACCCAATGAGAATAAACAGAGAAATAGCATGATCACATTCATGTGGTTTGTATCCAAGTGGAGTCTTATTAAAAAAAAAAGAAACTAGAGCTTAATTACGTATTATGAAAAAAGGGGGAAGCTTTATGCCTGCATAAACCAACCCTTTGCCTCGTCTGAAAGGAGAGAAAGAGCTCTCCATCCCTCGATGGAGCAGAGGATGGGAGGAGAACAGGTACAACACCGAAAAGAGACACGATTCCCCTGCCATTGATGAGGCCATTATAGCACAAATGAGGACAGATTGAATCTGAGCTGTTCCGTCAGCCTCCCTCCTCTCTCTGGCCATCCAGGAGCGAATGATTAATTGTGCGCAAGGGTCCGACTGCTGAAAAGCACGATTTCCAGCCCGCCCCCTCCCCATCTCCCCGAGCTTTGGCGTAGACCACACAAAGATAACGCAATGGGGCCATGTCTGGTGGCAAGGCAATTTCCTGTGCTCGAAAGTGCTGTTTGTGAGCTAATGACAGCTCTCCCCCCCTCCACTCCCTTAATCCATCCTCTCATTTAGCCATCAGCTTGCCCTTTCTCCCTCCGCCTGCCTGTTGTCTGTCACATAAAGACTCACCTATTGACTAAAGACAACCTTTCAATCAGGCCTTGCAGAAGTAAGACTGATTTGTCCAAAGGGAGCCCAACCAGTGTTAGAAATTAAAGATGCATGGAATATCTGATTCAAGGGAATCTGCAGTCCCGAGTTCCCAAAGTGGGACCAAGTGCACCAGCTAGAGGACATTTGTTAAATCTGAGAAGAGGTAATGTTTTTTACAGGAGCACAGGGGTTAGAAATGATTAGGATAAGGGGCGGCAGGGACCGAAAAAGAGCAAAGCTCAGTGTAATCGTTGCCAAGTGGAACATTCAAAAGGTCTTGCTTTGAGAAAATGACATTATAAAGGTAGAAAACTGCCAAACCATAAGCCTAACCATAAGAAAATTATATTTCTCAAACCTTCCATATGAAATACACGATTTTTCATTCGTAATATATTTAGGTTTCGATCAAACGCCCACTTGCCTCCCCCAAAACAGTCCGGGGATGTCAACGATACCACAGAAATGCAAGAGCCTCTCCAAATCAGCATTTTTCCAATGCCGTTTTGTATTCAGGATTAATAATCCGCCTCCTCACGCTCCCATACACAATCAACATTTAATCTAACAACACATTGCAAATACTCAGAATGTTTACCCTGGTTGGTATTTCGTGGCATGTCTTAGTACTACAAGTTAGTCTCTTCAATTAAAAATGTGAAACGCTCATTAAACGGCACTTATGATTAGAAATGGAGAAGATGCCTTTGTTGAGGATATAGTAACGTGTGGTGCGTATCGACCAGGCCTGGGGAGCTGCAAAGACGTCCCTTCGGGGCACGGTGCCCATGCTATCATGCTAAACTCACTTTAGTTCGACCACCAAGATCTGTGCCAAGCTGTCGAGAAAAATGTGCGATGCACACATTGACAAATGACAGCATTTGGCAGGAGGACAGGACAGTGGTAATGCGAAAATTTGGGCCTTCTTATCAATGCATGGTGGGAAGGAAAGTCACCTTCAAGAAATGGCACGGAAATGTCTCAGCACTTCCCTGCTCATAAAAAATGACACAGCGGGGCAAAAAAAAAAATTCACATGATTTGACATTTGATTCAGAGCCAGAATTTTCTGTACAAAAGTGGTTATAAAATATGCAGAGGCTCCAGCGCTTGTAAGAGTGCTGTGTGTGTGTAGACAAAACAGAGTGGGGTATATAGGGAGTTCCCAACATGCTCTTTCTCACAATACTAAAAATTCCCTTCTCACATTTAAACCACATTTTACAAAATAGCCCTGAAGGACGATAATAACATATTATGAAAGATTCCACAAAAGTTCATAGCGTTCTAAACACAATAAGAACAATATCAGATCAAAATATGATCACCGTAACCCTGCTGAAAATATATATCCGTTGAACAATCTTTATGCTTTCTTTGGCTTTATAAATATATATGAATAACTGGTCATACTTAAGCTGAATATACATATTTTGATTAAAGTTTTTTTTTTGTTCTCTCTTTATTGTAAAGAAAGGTTTAACATTTATTTAACACTCTTATTCATAATAACACAACTTATTCATTATTTTAAAACAGCGATTTTTCATTTCACCTGAATTACTTGGCTAAGTAATCTTGTTAACTATTTTTCAACTCACTCAAGCAACTAAAACTGTATATTTGACTATGGTGGTATGACTATTGGAATCATATGAATAAAAATTGAGTTTGAGTTATATACCCGTGAAAAATATTCAGTTTTTATCACCCCACATGAAACCTCACATGGAAATATTATACTTAAAATTTGATTTAAAATTAGAAATGAGAAACACTACCAATTTCATGAATCTAATAAAACAAAGATAAGGTGGACACCTTATAATCTCACATGGAAAGATAAACTGGCTTGATTAGGTGTATATTTTAGTGACCAGAATTTAAAATGAGAGCAAGCGCAAACCGTACCTAAGTTAAAAATGGAAAATAATCAAGGGGGTGCTTCTTATTAGGCAGGTTTAGGTGCTCTGCAGATGGAGAACACATCAATGTGCTGCCTACCGCACTTCCTTCAGCTCATTGGGATGCAAGTCACGTCCTATGTGAGAAAATGTCCGAGATAGCTTTGAAGTCATTAGTTCAGTCATTAGCACAGTTATGTTAAATATAAATTACAATTCATCAGCAGAAAGGGCCGATCATTAATTCTGTGTAGTTTGGCAGGCGTTAAATCACTGGCAGTCATTTGGTTGTGGAGGAGGGTTAGCCACGAACTGCTCTGTCTAATCTCCACTCTGATCACCATCTCCAAACCCGATGGAAGTATTTAAATAGCTCCCTGCTTTGCAATTTTTTAAGTCGCTGTTTATAAAAAATTCTACAGTGATCACGAAACCCAACAGCGAATGATGGAAAAGGGCGCACAAATCTCTCAATTATGTCGCAGTGCACCATCTATTTTAATAGGCCTTTAACGATCATTGAGATTAAAAGATTCGTTGGCCTCTCACTCAAACAATGCGTTTAACATGACTCCTAAAATTACACCTCAAGTGTGTTCTGAATTGCAAAAACACACTTTAACATCACATTTTAAAAACGTGTATCTTTATTTCTTTCATTTAAATCTCCGGATGTCAAAATTTAAAAAATAAAATAAAATTAAATAAAAACACATGCTTTCCCTGAATGCCCATATTCCAACATCACTGTGCCTGAACATTTCTGAAAGCACAACACTTAAAACTCCAAGATGCTTTACCTGTAAAATCCCTTTTTATGGATTCATTTTATGACCTCACGATAATCTCATTGACAGCCATCATACTTTTTGGTGATACATGAGATATATCTCATCTGACATTCAGAAAGATCAGCCATAAAACAAAGGTAAGTCTGGGTTGTAGTATAACTCATGATGGAAATCATTATCCTCACATTGAGACTCAAAGCATTGTCACTTGTGGTTAAAGGCTGATTTATACTCCTCGGACCTACGCTGGAGCCTCTACGCTATAGTTGGTTAATTGCACATGCAGAGGGAGCATGTGAAACCCGGGAACTGTTCTAGCAGACCAATCACAGCGCTTGCGTCCACGTAGAATTTACGTGTTGACTTGAATCGTTGCACCCACAATTTTGCCATGAATTACCCGTGCCCTAGCACAGCCGTAATGGTCAGTTAGCAGAATTTTGAATCTGCTACTGGAGAACATAGATGTAAGGTGTAAGGTTGAGCTTGACAACAGCGCATGGGGATTTTTAGACATGTTACAGTGTCATTTGCAGAACTGTGTGTTTCATCTTCTCCAGAGGGGTGGAGAGATGCCTCAATCAGCAGGAAAGTGATGTGTGTTCATGTACCACTGCTCCCCTTGGCTTGCAAAGGTCTTTGGCAGAATCTGGAAAGGTTCTGTATTATTAATGAAAATTGATTCCCGACTTACTCACACATTCCTGCTCCCGAGCTCCTGTTTTATAAGGTCATTTTCTGCACTGGTCATGAGAAGAGGACACAGGGCATAAGATGAAAGGTGTTGCTATTTTTCCCTCTTTGATTCTCCCTTCACCACCTGTACCACCTTGCTAACTAACACTATCGAAAAAACCTGCCTAACAATGATGTAACTGCCATGTCCTCTGGAGCCAGGAATTAATGGCGGGGGTGGCTTTACTCCAGGTCCCCAGTGAGCGGCGCTCATTTAGAAGATGAGGTTGGCACTTAGTGCCCTGCCAATTGGCTTGATGGAGATGCGGCGGTTAGACCCCCCCGTATGTCCCGCTTCCTGCCTCACATCCTCTCTGGGACAATCCGCGGTGTACCCAAGGAGTAAAAATAAACTCACTCACAAACACATCAAATCTCTCCAGTGCTATCAAAGAACTCTGACTAAGCCTGTTCTGAGATTAAGGATGTGATGAAGGTGAACGCAGAGAGCCAGGCAACAGAAGAGAGATCCAAGCGTCAAAGTGAGTCTAACACCCGGTTTAAAGTAGACAACGCAATTCTAGACAGAAAACACATGGCGCGGTAAGATGTAACGGTAAGGTGCACCCAGAAAAGTCAGAACACTTTTTTTCTAGCGGCAACGATGCAGCACAATGACAAACGAGCAACTTTAGCTGTCGCACGGGTGGCTGCATGCTAAACGCCACGGTGTCCGACCGGACGGGGTGACACCAGACTATGCGCCACAGGTCCACAACGCAACACAGTTTGTCCTTCAAGAACAATCAAGAAACACACAGACAGAGTTAGAGGAAAGGGACAGCAGAGGTGAGGAGAGAGGAGAGAACCCCGCAGAGGAGGCGGGAGGGGGACTTACAGTATCTCCAGATCGCGCAGGGCTCGGAAGGCTCCATCTTCGATGCAGCTGATGTGGTTGCTGTCCAGTTGCCTGCAGATGAGAGACAGAAGTCAGCGGCAGGTCTGCAGACGAGCGGGTGGGGGCTGAGGGGAGGGAGGAGGAGAGGTGGGGGCTGTACTAACACACACAAACGAGCATCTCATATCTACTCTGCTCTCCTCACCGCAGTCGGGATAAAGGACCAGCTGGCTAAAAGTGGCCTGCATGTGTGGCTATAGCCTCCTCCTATCTCGTCCTCTCTTTTTTTTTTTTTTTTTGCCACACTGCTGACAGTGTGGGGGCAAAGAGAGAGAGAGAATGGGAGGCTGGCTATAGTGTACACCCCACCCCGTCTGTCAGTTCTCTGTAAATATTAATTGCATTTTCTCCCCCCTCTCCCCCCCCCCTTCTTTTCTTTTTTTAAAAGTCAGAATGGGAGTAATTTCATTACATTAGAGCAGCCAATCCATTACAAGCTTTTACCGGCTCTGTCAAAGAAACAATTTCATTAAAGGAAGGGGTTCGTAAATCAGCCGGGGTCATGGAGCTAGACGAGCAGAAGCGAGGGGCACTTCTTCCTTTTTGCTTCTTTTCCTTTTCCTTTAATTCGCAGACTTTGATATCCACCCCCTCCGTCTGCCTATTTACCCATTCCTCTCTGTATTCTTAAAAGAGATGGATTTGAAAGAGACTTGAATAAAGAACAAGGAATCTAAGCGCTTTTCTTAAGTCATTTGTTCAGCAAACAGGACTGCTGTGACATTTGACCCATGACAGACACCGTGCCTTTGCGTCTTTAGAGACGGGTAATAAAGAGGAACGAAGAATCTCTGGCGATTCATCCTTCGTTTTTAAAAGACATGCATCTGTCTCCATAATTGCTGATGGGACAGACTGTATGGCATCCACCCACAGCAGATGCATTAACTATCACTGTGAAAATTAAATACTCTTTAATGCAAAAGTTAAAGGGATAGTTCACCCAAAAATGAAAATTAGCCATCCTAGGTGTATATTACATTCTTCTTTCAGACATATAAAATAAGATTTACATTTTTTTTAATTTTTTTTTTTTTACAAAAACACAAAACCTGAAGCAAATATGTATCTTTAATGACAATTGTAATGACCATCATTACAAGAACGAAGAATCTCTGGCGATTCATCCTTCGTTTCTAACCTCTTGAGACAGACCCACAACAAATGCATTAACTATCACTGTGAAAATTACATACTCTTTAATGCAAAAGTTAAAGGGATAGTTCACCCAAAAATGAAAATTAGCCATCCTAGGTGTATACATTCTTCTTTCAGACGTATACAATCAGAGTTACATTAAAATCACTTCAGAAGGCCTTTAACCCGCCAGAGCTACGTCGAACACTTTTATAATGGATGGATGCGCTTTGATGAACTTCCAAAAAATGTACCTACTGACTCCCATTATAAAGCTTGGAAGAGCCAGGTTATTTTTTTAATATAACTCTGATTGTATTCGTCGGAAAGAAGAACGTCATTTATGCTTCAGGGTGAGTAAATCATGGGCTAACTTACATTTTTGGGTGAACTATCCCTTTAAATGTTTGTCTCTTTATGATTTCTATTTTTTTTCCAAATAAATGAAGACATTAATGTGTTACAATGATGCTTAATCAGTGAAATCACTGAAACACAGCCTCTTTGGCTTATTTATTTTTCTAAAAGGGCTACAACAGCTTGAACATGTTATATACTGTAAATTATATATGTTCACACGTAAATAATATATACATTTTTTTTTTTTTTTTACAAAAACACAAAACCTGAAGCAAATATCTATCTTTAATGACAATTGCAATGACCATCAGTCTGTAATGATGCTGACACGAAACTTTCTTCATTTATGGACATCACTGAAAATAACTAGTTCATTAAGAAAGTCAGAGGTTGATTCATTAAACACTCTGATCAATTCAATACAGTGAAGGATTTGTCAACCTGATTCAAAGCACTTACTTGACTTTTTGAACCATTCATTAAAAGTATTGGCTCATCTGTTCAAGAATTAGTCTACACTAAAAAGAAGCAGCTCATTATAGTCATTTGTTCATAAATCAGGGTGCACTGGTTTGATTGTTTTTGCATAAAGCCCGAGGACAACTCAGCAGAAAGACTTTTTAAAAGTCATCATTTCACGGCAAGCTGTCGTTTATATTAAAGGCACATATTTTGATCAAAATGCTTTAAAAGAATGGCTTTTTAGGATTTATATTACAAGAAGTGTCTCAGTGACTATACTTTGTCTGCACTGAGTGACTGGTTAAAACCTTCTGGATTTTCTACAATAGATTGGTGGAAAGCACTTCAAAAATTATTTAACCGTATTAACCGTATTTCTTCACGGTTAATTTCTTAACAATAATAATCACAATATAGAAAATTCCACTGGCAAGTAATACAGTGCACTGCAAAACAGCAGGTGATATTATGAATACTTGGCACATAATTCAAAACATAGCCATGTCTGTATTATCTGAACATGTGCAGTTGATCTCAAGAGGAAGTCATTGTGGTTATGCGCCATAGATTTGTAACAATGATAATTCTGAATATAGTCATGCGAATAGCCGTCTTGAAAGCACATACAGTATGCGAGTTCGTGGTATGTGTGAATATCCGCGTGTTTGGTGATTGTTTGGAGAGGTGTGACATGGTAGTGTTGGGTAATGAAAGTCCCAGTTTTAATTTCCCTGTTCTAATTACATTGGCCTTTAATCATCTCAGTCATGAGCCATATTGGCACTTTAGAGCTCTCGTCCTGCCAGTGTCCCATCTGGAGTGAACGGGAGAAAGAAAACAGATATGGGTCTTCCTTCCCTTCCCTAGACTATTAATCAGTCAGAGTCGGTGATGCTAACCAGCAGCCGCATGGCCGTATTTCATCCGCACTCGATAGCTAACACAGACTTAGAACTGACCGTCACAGCTTGATTTGAGCTTTAAAATATGAATCTCATATTCAGTCTATAGTTGTAACCGTAGGTGACCTTTCATGGTGTGGTTTGAAGAGTTGTGTCTGTATCACACTGCTGATGCCTTGCGTCTTCTTGTCTCGACTGGTTTTGTTTCACTGTGTCTCATCTCATTCAGATTTTTTTCTCTCATCTCACTTTGTATCTCTAATATTGTCACCATTTCTTCAATTTATTTTTTGTCTCTTCTAATCTCTGCTTATCCTATCAATTCATCTCAACTCCTCTCTTCAAGATCATATCACTTTCTCTCATCATATTTTGTCTTCTCCTTCAGTCTAATTTTCTTCCTCTTTTTCATCAGTCTAATTTAGTCTCTTTTTTCTCTTCTACTGTCTTCCAATCTCTTCTCTTGTCACCTCACCCCATTTCATCTATTCTCCTTCTTCTCAATTCATCTCACCTAATCACATATTTGTTCTTCTCATTCTCACTTCTTTTTATATGACCTGTTCACGTTTTAGTCTCATTTAATCTTCATATTATTATTTTTTCTCTTTTCTTTTCATATTGTTTTATTAAAACATACATTTATTAAATATACTCTCATATTGTCTTTTCTCTTCTTCTCCTTTTCAGTCTTGTCTTATCTTTTCTCTTCAAGTATCATCTTTTCTTATATTGTCTTGGTTTGTCTGGTCTCATTTCATCAGGTCTATTTTCATCCTGTCTTATTTCGTCGGGTCTCATTGTTTAATTTTATTTGTCTCATATTGTCTCTTTTTGTTTCATTTCATTTGGTCTCATAATGTCTCATTTCATCAGGTCTCATTTTTTTCTCATTACATCTGGTTTCATATTGTCTCATATTGTTTCCTTTCATCTGGTCTCATATCATATTGTATCATTTCAGGTGGTCTAATATTGTCTCATTTTAGCTAGTCTCATATTGTCTCATTTTAATTATAACCTGGTTTTATATTGTCTAATTTTATTTGGCCTCATATTGTTTCATATTCCCTCATTTCATCTGGTCTCGTATTCTCTCATTTCATCTGGTCTCATATTGTCTCATATTCTCTCATTTCATCTGGTCTCATATTGTCTCATTTCATCTGGTCTCATATTGTCTCATATTCTCTAATTTCATCTGGTCTCATATTGTATCATATTCTCTCATTTCATCAGGTCTCATTTTCTCTCATTTCATCTGGTCTTATATTGTCTCATATTCTCTCATTTCATCTGGTCTCATTTTCTTTCATTTCATCTGGTCTCATATTGTCTCATATTACCTCATTTCATCTTGTCTCATATTCTCTCATTTCATCTGGTCTAATATTGTTTCATATTCTCTCATTTCATCTGGTCTCATATTGTCTCATATTCCCTCATTTCATCTTGTCTCATATTCTCTCATTTCATCTGGTCTAATATTGTTTCATATTCTCTCATTTCATCTGGTCTCATATTGTCTCATTTCATCTGGTCAAATATTGTCTCATATTCTCTCATTTCATCTGGTCTCATATTCTCTCATTTCATCTGGTCTCATATTTTTTCATTTCATCTGGTCTCATATTGTCTCATTTCATCTGGTCTCATATTGTCTCATATTCTCTTATTTCATCTGGTCTCATATTCTCTCATTTCATCCGGTCTCATATTCTCTCATTTCATTTGGTCTCATATTCTCTCATTTCATTTTGTCTCATATTTTTTCATTTCATCTGGTCTCATATTGTCTCATATTCTCTCATTTCACCTGGTCTCATATTCTCTCATTTAATCTGGTCTCATATTGTCTCATATTCTCTGATTTCATCTGGTCTCATTTTCTCTCATTTCATCTGGTCTTATATTGTCTTATATTCTCTCATTTCATCTGGTCTCATTTTCTTTCATTTCATCTGGTCTCATATTGTCTCATATTCTCTCATTTCATCTGATCTCATGTTGCCTTATTTCATCTGATCTTATTCTCTCATTTCATCTGATCTCATTTTGTCTTATTTCATCTGATCTTATTCTCTCATTTCATCTGATCTCATTTTGTCTAGTGTCCTGTCCTAATTGAACAGAAAGACAGCCTCAGTATGG